GGATTCTGTTTACGGAAATTCATTCGTAAACCCTATAACAGACACATCATAAATTAGTATTAACTAAGACATGGTTCAGTTACCATGCTCGAAACAAACACGCATCCCTTTACTTATGAAGAATATGCGACTAATTGGTGTACCACTTGCAGTAATGTTACACGCAGTTCCTATATATGTTCAGAAAGCGTACAGAAAAGACTATCAACGTCATTTGTTACTTATATAATTGACCTCAGATACGCTACGTAATGTCAGTTCAGTCGAGAACGATAATACTTATGATAAATAGAACTGTCTATGGCTGTATGTCAGCAAGTTATATAATATTCATGGATAGTTTAACGCTAAATTGCTTCGACCTAAATTGTATAAACAACTACCTACATCCATGTCCATCACCATAATTAGGGAGGTGAATCAAGTGTAAGAGGTTTTAGAGCTCATTTTTGCATAAAACTCTAGTTGTGGTCTATTTTTGACTTGATAAATGGTGAATTTCACTTGCTTGAGTTTATATTGTTACAAATAACCACATTAGGCTGACTAAACATTCACCCAGTTTGTGAGCATCAAGTACGTCAAACTACCAATAAACTGGAATAAAAGCTATGTAACAAGCACAAACATTACGAAAATTGACGTGTGATGGAAAAAATGCTGTTAATAGCTGATAAATCTAAGATCCTCGACACCATGCAACATGTGGGCGAAAACCAATGTCTTAACGTCCTAATCGTCCTGGAAATACGGAATGGCGGCCTAATGTTAGGCCCTTCAGGGTCTAATACAGGCCATCAAGCCTCCTGTCCTTTCCAAACTGAAACTGAAACTGAAACTGAAACGGCGATGGATTCAAAAGGGTCTAACGTTTTTATCGGGCAGCGCTCCAGGGGTATCGCGACACTTTTTTGCGCTACTTCTTCATTTCTGCTTTGTGCACAGCCAAAATTTGAAATTTATTATACTTAAATTTGAAAAATCATTTTCCGTCTTCATAATTAAGTGAAAAGGGGTTTTTTCATTTTGCGTTACATGGTATCGCGAAGTCCTTGAAAATTCATTAATCAGGTGCTGCTATAATAGTTTTTTCATATTTGCATCGCAGATTGGCGATTATTTCTACCTAACTATACAAAAAGAGCAGAGAAATCGTTTATTTTTATATGAAATGATATTATCTAAGCATATATTGTCATAAAAATTGTTTTGTCGTCAAGGCTACCAAAACTGCGTTACAACTAACGATACCATGATAACATTTATCGTTTTTCCCTTCTGTATTACAATTTTGGCTGATTTTCACTGTTTTGTTCGACTTTTATGGCAGACATAGGCTAATAGTGAAAATATTAACTGTTGTTAGTGTTGTCAATATTATGTATATGCTGTAGATGGTTATAACACATACCAATATGTTAATATCACCTTCTACAGTTAGATATATAAGCTACCAAATCATTATATTGCAGGAAATAAATCATAATAATGCGAGAGAGGTACAATTATGTGGAGATTTTACCAGAGAGTAAGCTAAGATTGCTTTATAAAGCTAATTAGCTTAGAGTTAGTATATTATCTCTTGAACAGAGTTCCAATGTTCAGGCTGCCGGTATTCTTGCAAAGATAGCCAATAGCAGAAATAAGTACGATTGGGTAATCAAGATATCTTGATCTCAGGTGACCAGATTGTGTGAGATCGTATATAATGATCTTCGAAAATTACCGAAGGCCTGGCTAACTTATATGTTGATGCCGTAAATGACAATTAATTATACCTTGCGTGAGACTAAAATAAAAAAGGCACCAATAATTGCAGATCATACAAGACGATTCAAAGTAAGTTCACATAGCAGTCTTTATATATATATAAAGCAAATAAGCGTGATGTACCAAATGCACTCTCGATTTGTAATTGAATACCGGTTTCTCTTTTTATATAAGTTTTGGGTAAACATTTATATTGTAATAGTTATTTCCTGTCTATCTTATTTCCAGCTGGCTTCGCAAGTGTTCACCGACCTAATTGGAACAATTCTTAAGAACTGGAAGTTATTCATTAATGGATCATTTTCGTTGGATTTCAACATTAATAAACGTTCTCATTTATAATACATCAGTGTTTTAATTACGGCAATGCTTACCTATCGTGACAAGTCAAATTTCGACCTAGTAGTATAGTAAATCATGTTCAAAGTTGCAGTGTTTGGTAAACAGTGCGTATAACTAATCGCGTGTGCGCTAAACTGGTAATTATTACACAAGAACGCGAAACAACATCCCTTTTTCACAGCGACATAAGACTTCACAGTACACTCTCCCTACCGTAACGCTATAAGAATGAGTTAATGCCCATATAAATGAATTTATGTAAAACTAAAAAGATTACAATATTAGAACTTCTTGTCATCAAGAAGCATAGCTATGGTCAGTGTTAACAATGGATTCTGACGATGTAGCTTCATCATTAGCACCGATTGAACTCATCACTTGTGCGCATATGTCTTCAGATGCTTCGAAGCATGAACGGATGAGTTTACTTGCCAAGGGTTCACTAAGAGCATGGATTGAGTGGTAGTTGTTAGTGAACTTCTCTAGCAGATCATCACTCCCGGTAGAGATTGACATGTTGTCGAGCGCACGAAGAACCAAGTCCATTATATATTTCCTTGTCCACCGGCTGCTATGTCGAAATAAGTCTACAATGCTTATAGAGACAAAAGAACACACACTTACCTCCACTTATTAGATCTTTAGAATGTGCATACAGAATATGACCACAGGGTAGCATGTAGTCATTGAAACGCTCACAAGCACATCGTGCACGTGAAGTATCAACAACATACATCATACCCTTGTCGTAGCACCGGATGTATTCCCCTGCTATACATTCGTGTCTCATTGACCTAACACGTTTATAATTTACAGCTACAATTTTAGCTGCAAAAGATGTGAACTCATTTAAAAGAGTTCGAAATGACATAGGAACCTGGAACTAATGAAACATTTAACTATATTTCTTACCTCAAGAATTGGAAAACGTTGAAGATCCTTCACAGCGTCATATGGACACAAACGTAGGTCAGTATCTGTTTTGCTCCAAATTTTCCAGAACGTCAATGGCAGAGAATCACCTCTTCTAAGACATTCTTTTAGATGTGGGAAATGGATCCTCAGATGTTCGTACTTTTGAGTAAATCTTAATATAATGCGTTACGAAAAACGAAGCTCACATATCAGACCGTCTAGTCTTTACAAGGTGTTCCAAGCATTTACGTACATCAGGATTTCGGAACTACAGAAAATAATTTGTACAGCTAACACTTACCTTCCTGAAAAATGCTCTTAAGACATGGAATGAACAAAGTACTATGTCGGCATGATTGTGCGTAGACTGCACTGCTGAAATTTCGGTTGCTGCCGAATCCATAACAAAAGTGCGTGTATCATAAGTACAGCACATTATATCTTTGAATCATTCCAATAATTTTACGACATCTTCTCGTCGTTCTTGCCTGCAAAGAGCATACATAACAGTGTGCCCTTGCCCAAGACTATCAGTCACCACTAGCTGGAACAGTGGAAAACTGTAAGATGAATTAATTGCTATTCGTTACTTACCCAACTTTGTTGGTCTGATAAGTCGAGTCAATACATACCACCTCTGGGAACGCGTGGTAAATAGATACCTGCTCCCTGCGACTGAAGCAAATCATAGATATGTTTCCATGTTCACTGAGTACTTTAACTTCAGTGTTTGCTTGAACGCGCTGTAAAATGTTATTGATATTTTTGGTGTCTAATCTCAATTAATTACAATGTGAGTTCAACAACCTGGGTACAACTGTGAACGCATTTTACAGATATCATCCTTGGTAAGCTGTTTATGGAACTTCCAAGAAACCAGATGCCGTAAACTACGAGTCGGCGTATTACTCATTAGAAAAGTTCTTAAATATAGACGTTCACTTGACGTCAACTTTCTTCTTGAAGGATCTACAGAAATATATCCTTCTGTGCAAGGATGGTTGTGCACGGTCTTGATAGAGGTGACTTTCAGCTCACCATTTACTGCACGGACCCAAAATCCAGATTGACAATGACAATATTTCGACCTGAAGGATAAATTAATTTGAAGCAAAGCATACGTAGATGACCGACGTCGTCTTCTTTGTCTAGGTTGTGGGGGTGAGTTAGAAGTTGTGTGCTCTTCGGAAGAATGATGATCACTATCATCACCTACATCCTGAACGCAAGCATCTGACTCTGACGAACTGCGTTTACGTCCATATGTACAAACATATCTCACGAAAAGATACTTTAGATTTGGGTCATCATTGTTCTTTTTGCATACTGACATAACGTACCTAGTATGCGTATACTACAAAAATAATCATTAACCACAGAAGTCATATTACCTTATGTACTTCTTTCAAACAGGTCTCAAAATTGTCCCAACTTGTAAATCTCCGAGATAACATGATATCATTGAAGATTGGTCCTATATCATGCATCATAACGATGGCATCATCTTCGTTACTTGAAGGATGGACGTTATCAGACATGGTGTGGCTGAACTCAATTCAAATCTAAAAATGCCTTGATTTGACCGCCTCTGAAAAACTTCACGAGTTGTCGATGTCACGCACCAATCATGTTGAAACAGTTTGACCTTCAAGTGCTCGCAACCTCCATCAGTGGACGATACCCCTGAAGCGCTGCCTTTTTATCGTGTGTTTTTACCTTCCCGTTTCTAGGGTACTCAAGGTAAATTTTGGAAAGGTGTGTGGAATTTTGTGGGTACTGCGTACTTCACGTAAGTCAATCATGCCTTCCATAGTTGTGAGATGTGATTTACAACGACTCCCGAAGTTGTCTCTTGTTTACTCCCGAAAGAAAAATGGGATTCCAGTCTCACTTTTTGTTGTCTTGATGTTTCTCTACTTTAATTACAGGCTTAAATTGCGGTTGCTTAACAGGCATAACTGGGTTTTAGAACTATGAGTCAGATATTACAAGTCCATGCTTTCCTCCAGCATTCTTTCCCATTGAATGAGAACCTAATCCCGGCATCTCTAAGAGATGATTTAATTCACCAACGAACTCAAATACCATATCATAATATCCCGATACATAGAGATGGTATGACGGGGCAAGTAGTGGATCCTGATGTTAATTTTAAACGTTCATGTGCTACGGCTACATCTTGTGGAATAAATACTGCCAACACCAGGGTAAGTTTTGTTGGAAACAGACCTGATCTCTGTAGGTTGAACCAACAATTATGAAATCTATCCATGAAATTAGCAAACAGGCTCTTCATTCAACTAAAACGGAGTTTAATAAATGGAGTTGTATACGTAAATCACCTGACTGTTCTAGTGATTTACCAACTGTCCCCAGTATAACTGATGAGTTATTGAAAATGGCTTCCGAGGATGTGGTTCAGAATTGGTGTTTTCCGAAGGGATATTTCCTTCGACTAACAGCTCAGATAAATGAGGCAGGGACTTTCTTACTACCCAAAAGAGAAACGATCACGTTTTTTAAAAGACGAATAAGGAGCTGCAAAGCACGTGAATCCTATGCTACAATAGTAAGTTTTAAGTGCTTTGTAACCGCTTTGTTTCTGAAAATTTTCCTAAAACCAATCTCACATGGTGCTCTATCCAAAATATTTGGTGTAAAACAACGACCGTGCTCCTTTGTTTTTCACATGTCCACCTAGCTATGTTAGGTGGTTCACTTTACTTCCGTCAGCTTTATGTGTTTTCTATCCTAACTTATCAAAAATTTCCTATTGATAGCTTTCTTAATTTTACCTGGATATTGTAATGGGACTGATGCATCCTAGCGAAACATTTTCGTTTCATGGAGATAATGATGTAACTAATAATCTTGTGAATTTTGTTGATTACTCCGTTAGCACTTAAGGTCTCGCCAACTCTTATAGATTTTCGTCTGAGGATGTTTTAGGATAGACATAAATTTCCTTTTCCTTCACCAACTTCAGTCATCTGACGCAGACGCGGCACTCGTTTGTCTGTCAAAAGCGTGAGCGTTTTACAGAGTGGTTTGTAGTAGTAGATTTAAACTACTTATTCGACCTTAACCTCAACAATAGCCACAGGCGCATTAATATAGTCGGAATGACAGTATTATTTCTATTGGAGTTGTATTCAGACCACAAGCAATTCAAACAATCAAGCAGGCAACAATTTTTTCGTGTCGAATCGAACTCAAATTACAAAATAGTTAAAAGCTTAATTGCTACCAGCAAGTACAGATTCTGAAAAAGCCTTTCTGAATCTATGAGTACAATTCAAAATGGCTTTTTTCAACGTCCTGGCGCTAGTACAGATCAGACGGTAGATTTTTCTATCTGTAGAAAGTCTTGATATGGACGTCTGCTGTACACCCAAGCTCCGTACTTAAGACTGCATTATTGCTAAAATTGCACATCTTATTTCTCGATTCGTGACTCTCGTTCCGTGTGTGTTTGTCTGGTAACTCTGTGGCATTTTCGTTCGGTTTGGCTGGCTTTCGTGTCGCAGTAAGTACCAGGCAGCATAAGTTGATTGGACCCCGATTATCAGTAGTCAGTGTGTTTCAAGATTAGAAATTTCCGTTTGAGCGCGAAGTCAAAATGGAATACGATTTTATATCGTTATCAATGCCTACGCCCCAACAAATTGCCGACCGGATACGATCGAAGATTAGCTCTAACACGAGTTAAATGATCATAAGAAATCGCGTTTGACAGATGTTTAAGTGTTATCTGGAGATTCTAATGTGCCGATAAGGCCTCTATGTGTACGAAAGGGTCGCTTTGGTGGCCAGTGAGTATTTGGTCACTAGTTGAATAACAATGACCGTCTCATAGCATGAAAACATGTTTCGGGTCAGCATTACTTCCGACACAGTCCGATATGATGTCTGTCTCCACTCTCTCTGCAATCCTTGTGTAGATTCAGGTTGGTTATATTGGGTTCAGCTACCGCTTATGTTTGTGTGTGTGACGCACTCGTTCTCAAGTAAGTATCTGGTCTCTTCTCCTGCTTTGGCTTTGGCCCCTTTATTTTGATTTTCAGCGGCCAACAATTTCATTGTTCTGAAGTAATTGATAAATAAAAATCGACTGCAGCTTTCATTGCAACTAAACATCAAACTGAACAAGGTTCAAGGCTAAATGTCAGTCCACGAAGAAATACATGGGGAGACTGGTTGCATTCTCCTGACGTCACGAAAATGACAAGTAAAGTCTCTTGTGGCTTTGCGAAACGTCTCACCGAATAGCACTAAGTTTCAACAAACCTCTTAAGACACGGTTGACTGTGGCTAATAACGAGCTTGGCGATAAACAGATTCTTAGATTTGGAAGTTATCCAGAAGTTGTGCGAGAACCGAACACTTGGTACTTGAAGCACGCTAACTAGTTTGGAAGCTGCAGCTGCATCTGGTATCTGTCAAGAGCTCTTTCAGTTGATACGAGTTCTTGGGGGGGGGAAGAAGCTTGGTGTGAGTGAAGCAATTTAGGTAGCCGATAAATAATATCTAACGAGACCTTGGACGGTGCGTAGAGTGTTTTCAAACAACAATTCGACCGTCCACCAGACTTTCCTGCCCATCATAATCAATGAAAACTGACCCACCTGGCGAAGAGGTAGTCCTCGAGGAATCCCAACTCCCGAAGCGTCACAGATCGTCAGGTCCGAAAGACTCACTCTGGCGAGCTTCTTGTTCAGGGAACTAACTAGATTGTTTGGAAAGATTTACGAAGTAGAGAGTGTTCTGACATCCCAAAATCAAGCGACAATAGTCCTAGTCCCTAAAATGGGTTTAACCCATCTATTCTACAAAGATCAAGAATAAGTTTACTTTCAATGGATTCCGAACTATTGGTTTCTGTTATAATTCACACTGAAACATATAAAAGACTGACTTGCGAGAAGCAGACCGGGTTTCGTTCTGGTTGTTTATTTACTGGTTATAATTTTCACCCTCTATGAAATCTTGAAGTTACGCCATACTTACTGCTGGCTCTGTGTACGAACACATCAGATAGAGTAAAAGCATACAACTACCTCTCTCCATTGTTCCGTTCTAGCAGTTCACCGGGTTACATGATTCTCATTTTTTTTCCTAACGTATGTGAAATACTTAGAACAGCAATGGTAATCATCTGTTTGTTGTAGGCTCAACACATTTCAACAATCGATCATAGGTTCTTTACAAACTAGGGATATTAAACAATAGTGAATTACAGATTTATTCTCCATATCCGATATTTTGTCTTTTCATTAGGATCGAGGGATTGTGAAGACTAATTTAATGGTAGTTAACACCATAACCTGGCTCTAGCTAGACAACCGTTGAAGATCGGAGAAAGAAACTCTTTCGTCCTAGCCACCAAGTGCTTTCTGGTTTTCAACAGTAGTCTCAGTCAGTCAGCTACAACGCAAGACCAGGCACATATATGCATCGGTCCAAGTTGCTATACCTCATTAGCACAACAGGATGAGCACCAAATTCATAGTAGTTACTTCAATGGTAGTAATATATAAAAGAAAGGTTGTGTATAAGGGCATAATACAGGAAGAAAGAATCGGTTCGACAGTAATGTATCTAAAGCCAATTTATAATGTAAACTATTTCACAATTTTTACATAACTGACTGACCTCAGCTAAATAACCAGTGAAGCCACCAAGCACCGGACAGCTGTTTCATGATGATACGGGACTCCTCAGAAGCGGGCATCCACCATCTCATTTGAGATCGAACTGAGGACCTACGGGCTTAGTGTTGAGCTTAAACCTTTATACTATTACGTCTTCGTTCATTACTAGTGGCTGATTGCGACAGATTATTCTCCGTGTTCTTGTGAGATACCGTGACCGGTGTAGTTCAACATTGTTGGGTGTCTGACATTTATCCACCGATGACATTGTAAGGTGTTCGCGTAATATATAGGTTCGATTATAGTTGGTGATGTATACTTCTGAATCCAGACTCAGTAGTCTAATGTTGGGTGTTTGCCTTGAGATCTGGAGGTCTTGAGTTCAGTCCTCGGTGGGGTCGTGAATACTCCCTAATGAGTAGTTCCATCCTAGAACGAAAAAGACGTCCCAAGGTTCCTAATTTTAAAGATTTATGCAACCAGTATCATGCGATGTAAACTATAAACCTCTGCAATCTAAATAAACCTCTATTTTAATTATCTCCATATTGGTTCACACACATTTTTATTTCAGAAAGCTTGGAATTCGTTTGGAATGTAATATGATATGGAATGCTTATTGATTAGTTATCTTCATGCTGTAATCATGTGATCAAGATGTGCTTGTTGTGGGGTGGACAACGAGTCAAGCATTTCGATTTTTGTGTGGAGCTTTCTTTACTAACTTTTTTCAGTTGAGGACGTTGACAAAATGTTGTATTTAAAGTATTTTACGTATTCGCATCAATTCACCTAGCAGATTAAATAGTTTCGTTTGCATGATTTATTTTAGTTATTTTTTTGTTCACTTAAACATTACCCAGAATGTATACACTTCTTTACCCAATATTGCATAAACAACTTCTGTTATATACTATGTTAATGAAAAAAACTGATTCGTGAATGACATCCGTTAATTAAAAATGATGTCTAGAATTGGTCAGTTTCATTAGCAAATTGAATAAAATGACACCTTACAAATTAATTGATGTTTATTACTAGATTTCGTCGTAAAAGCCTCCCGAAGCTGTAAGAAGGTTGACGGAAGTACTTCCGCCAGCCAATGTTTGGCAGAGACTTCTTAGAAAACTCTAGAAAAGATTGGTTTCATGTCGTCTTCTGACTAAATAACTACCGATATTTTTTCCAATTTCGACATATTTTCAGCGACTTAGAATATCAAGATCACCCATAAATAACCTTATTCTCTGTACTCAAACTAACCTTTGAAGTGAAGCATCTTTTCGTACTTCCTGCCTTTCGTCTTTCGTGTGAGGTTCAAGCGTAGGGGATTTCTGAGGGACTAGAAAACGATCAGGAGTCGATTTTCTGTCCAAGTACTGAATGTATCATTTAGCCTTACCGATGAATGGCCTCATGAATTTAAATGTGTGTAGTAGACGTTCGTTTCTTTTCATCTTAGGTATTGAGACAAACATTTTAACCGCCAATTAATTATATAATAAAAAATTCAAACTGAAGTTGAAATAAAATGTAATCGTTGCATGGAAATATGAGTTTGTTTATTTGGAACGATAGTATTTTGACCTAAATTTTGTATTTTGATTTGCAGTGTTTTTAACAGATTCATTTATACGTATCATCTGTAAATTTTTATTCTTATGATCATTATCACCCTCTGCATAGGAGGATACTTCAACACCACTCCCGACATTAACAAAATTAATTCAGAATCCAGCATTAAATTGGAATTTCGAGCTTGACACATTTCAAAAACGTGCAATCCTTTGTCTTGAAAACAACAAAACAGTATTTGTTTCAGCACACACATCATCCGGTAAAACTGTGATTGCAGAATACGCCTGCGCTATTTGTTTACGTCGTGGTTCACGTGTCATCTATACAAGTCCAGTTAAAGCACTTTCCAACCAGAAATTTCATGATTTTAGGTTAGTCATTTTGTTGAATTAGTGAAATAATAGTTTTATATGTATTTTATCGTAATTTATACATATGGGGATATACTAAGCACAGTTTTGTCTACCACTTATCAACTACTCTAGGGAAAGATTTGGTGAAAATGTAGGACTAATTACTGGAGACATCAAACTAGCTCAAGAAGCATCACTACTTGTCATGACCACTGAAATATTATATAATATGTTGTGTAATGCATCTGAGATTATCAAAAATCTTGAAATTGTAATCTTGGACGAGGTAAGCTATCGACTATCATTTGATTACCAAGGTTGTTTAATAAAACTATTTCGTCATAATTATGTTCTTTTATTAAATTACATATCTGTAAAACAAATCGGACTAGACTATCGTAGATGGTTGTCAAAATTTCTACATTTCATACCCCAAAACAGTTGATTGTGATACGTTTATTCGGGTTTAGCTCAAATACTTTCCAAAACATATTAGTATTTTAACTAACACAAACGTCATGGGCCCATATTCTTGAAGTTATTATCACGGTTATAATTATTTTATCACGTCCTGGTGACTAAAAATTACTGTAAAGGTATTATTTTACGTTAGAATACATTTTATTGCACTAATTGATCACTGCAATTCATCGAAATCACAAACCAAGTAAAGTTAAACAACGACTGAAAACTCGAAAGCATCGAACAGCCGTTTCATCCTAGTGCGGAACTTCTCAGAAGTTCACATCCACGACCCTGCAACAGGGAATCAAACCTAGGACCTTCAGTCTCGCGTGCAAACTTCTAACCGCTAAACCACTGAGTCAAATATCAATCGATTTACGTTATCGCGCGATTATCTTCCATGAAGTTCAACAATGTCCATAAACCCATACTGGCAGTTATCGTGTGCTCACTAGTGACTAGATTTGAGAGGGAAATTCCACAGTTTTAATTTGAGGTCATGATCAATGGAGCTAGACCTTGTCTATTGTGATGAGTGTACCCACTGAAGATGATTGAATTACGTCTCGCGATATCGTGAATTGATTAGAGTTAAACTTATTCACCATTTGATCCCTGCTCAGTGGTTTAGCAGTTAGACGTTCGTGCGCGAGATCCAAGCTTCTGGACTCAATTCCCACGTGTGTGGTCGTGAGTGCTCTCTGCTGAGGAGTCCCATATTAGGATGAAACGGCTATCCAATGCCTCCAGGATTTCAATGGTGATCTAGATTTGGTCGGTTCGTGATTTCAATGGAATTCATCAATCTTCACAACCCCATACTTATAATCACTGAAAAGTAACCAACGTTATGTTGTTTAAATGATATGACGGATTTTAGCCCTGTTAATAAGAAAGAACCAAAATCCTTTTGTGATAACTACACAGGAATCAATCTGAATAATATAGTATCTATGGTAGTAGCCGCCATATTTATCGAACATTTGCTGCTTCACAAATATAAACTAAAGAAAACCAGGGTAGTTTCAGATATGAACATGAATATATTGATTAAATATCAGGTTTTATAACACAATAAAATTTACCGTCATCCAACTGTTGTAGTGTTCTTTTTTACCTTAGGGTGGCATTCAACTTCATTGAGGTGATTTTGTGACATGGTTTGTCAAAGAAAAGTGTGCCAAAGAAGTACATAATTGCTGTAACAATACTACTGCTCAAGTCGAAGCTTATGACCAACTGTTACCAGGATTGTAAACTGCAAGTGGTGTTCTTTAGGGTTTCCAACTGTCTTAGGCTCTATGTCGATCATGGCTGATATGATAGAACAATAATTGAGCTAGATTGTCTCATGTTTTATTTCCACTGGCAAGTGAATGACCTACAGAATCCATCATTTTGCAATCGCTTACGATGCTTAATCATGTTAATTTTCTGAACCTAAGACTTTGTCTAAAGACGTTATTTTACTGTGGAAGAAAAATTAATTTTGTTAACAACTGTATTATCATCTTTAGTCGTTTCATCTGGGAGCTTGTGTTAATAATTCTGCTTCATAAGGGATTATAATTTAATCACATCGTAACAACTATCGCTCACATGAATTCATCAAATTTGAATCCATGATACATCCTTGATGCTCATTCGATTTTATTGGTCTAGTTGCAATTTATCAGGTAGTCCAACAAACTCGAGATTAAGACAATGCTAAGCATTTGAAAACACGATTAGCTCAGTAGTAACAACTGTGAATTTAATGCCAGTTAACTTTATTTTAATCCTCCAAATAGCATAAGTTCCCTTCGTAATATGTATACATCCCTATGAATAGTGTGAACCAGCACTAAGTTAGTGAACTATCACTTACGAGTATGATTTGATATAACACATGTTCACCAACATATGTGTCCCTAGTCAAAACTTTCTGTGTCTATTCGTACTTGCAGTTGTTTAATTGTTGTTGAAATCTTTACTTGAAGTATTACACTAACTTTACCATTTTACTTCTGAAATTTAATTTATTTTCACTCTTTCTTCAGTGAAGAGATGGTTCATTCACTAACAAACTATGTTCTACGTTTGTCTAGTTTATCTGTTTACCTCATCAGCGATTGCTGGATTAATAAATAAGCTTGATTATTATTATTTTTATTATTATTATAATTTTTATATTTCCTTTCCTTTTTCTCTTTAGGTACACTATATTAATAATCCAGACAGAGGTTACGTATGGGAGCAGATTATGATAATGCTTCCTAAGCATATTCTACTAGTAATGTTAAGCGCCACTGTACCAAATAATTATGAAATAGCTGATTGGTTAGGACGTGTACGAGGTTGTGAAATTCATGTCATCGCAACAGATAAACGCCCTGTTCCACTGGAATATTACCTATATACTAGCATGACGGAACAATATACATCACATCTTCACCTTATTGTAGACAAAGATGGTCATTTTATAGATTCAGGTAACGTTTACACGTCAGAATAAGGAAATAAGTTGTCACGTATTCCTTCATACTATTTGCGCTCATGGGTAAAATACTGACTGACTCATTTTCATGAAGTTGTCGATTTGTTTGACAATCTCATGTCAACGATTCTTTTCGAATGAAGAGCTATAACCTATGATGGTAACTATTTTCTATTGTATGGAGTTTAGATGCTTTGTCAATAGGAATATAATTTGTTAGGTTACCACATATTTACTTATGGTATCAAGACTTGATAATGCTTCCTAATCAGATTTTATTGGGTTTGTTAAGCGCCCATGTACCAAATCGATTGGACCCAAATTAGCAGTGGTCAGTGTGTTTCAAGATTAGAAAGTTCCGTTTGAGCGTGAAGTCAATGCCTACGCCCCAACAAATTTCCGACCGGATACGATCGAAGATTAGCTCTAACACGAGTTAAATGATCATAAGAAATCGCGTTTGACAGATGTTTAAGTGTTATCTGGAGATTCTAATGTGCCGATAAGGCCTCTATGTGTACGAAAGGGTCGCTTTGGTGGCCAGTGAGTATTTGGTCACTGGTTGAATAACAATGACCGTCTCATACCATGAAAACCTGTTTCGGGTCAGCGTTGCTTTCGGTGATGTGTTTGACGATGGGATTTATGGTTGGGTATTTTTGCGATAAATCAATAAGTGTACATGAACTTGTCATTCTAATTGTTTTCGCGTATTGGATGTTGAATTTCATTTTATGGTCGTTATTCAAATTTACGGAGTTGGGTGGGTTCATCTAACGATTAAATGCTCAGAACGATTTCAGTTCACTTTTGTCTCTGCGATCCATATGGTGGTTCGTTATGTTAGGATTTCTGTAATTAGATCGCTCTTCTACGTCTTGTTTCACATCTTTGGCCTACTGTTTTGAGTTTAACTCTATGTTGTACCTCAAAACCTGTTGCTGCATTTATCATTGGGTGAAATACTTTAGCTATTGCCTGTTACTCGTTCGCTTGTTAATGCTTCACGTGTTTAATATACTGTCCAACTTTTGTGTTATTTTTAAAATTTATACCAATCATTTCCTGTTATTCTGTTACTACGTGTAGTGCGTTTACGTCGTATTCATATAGCGGCTCCTCATCTCAGTGTTTTTTCCCGTTCGATTATTTTTCTGCTAGCCCTTATTCTGTCTTCAGCTCATGCTTGTATAATGCTTATTTCAAGGGTTACTGTACCAGTCATTTTGGGCGAGACCGTTAATTTATGTACGAATCGATCTGAAAGAATATATCAGGCCTTGAATTTTTTCCCGAAATTCATCCATAAAGCTAATTGGTATTTCGGCACTAACTGATGTCAGTTCATAGTGAAAGCCTCAACTCTAATTCCTAACCGTGACATTCAATTGTAAATCCTTGTCCTGATTCTTCACACAAATCCATGACGTTTGTTTAGTTCCAGCAAGTAGTTGGATATTCTAAAGGTCATTTAAGCATCACTTGAAGTTCGTACATAGATTAAAGTCCTTCTGTCATTTACGAAGCATTTTATAAAATTACTGTTTGAAACCTGTGAGTTTTATTTTAACAGGTATTCTCGTATCGCGTCGTGCTACCTGGTCTTCTTTTAACAAATAAGCTTATCATGTAAGAACTGTGATTGCAAGCACTGCTACTCTTATCAGTAGATTGTGTGGTCCTTCCCGTTTACTCACCTTAAAAGAAAGCTCTCAAATGCCCTGGTACGGCCGAGGGTAGGAGAATTAGCTCTCTCTCTCTCTGTCGAAATGCTCTCATATAGCCACCCGTATACAGCCACTGCCAGAGAAGTCCTGCTTACTGCCTTCTCGTGGCGAGGGTGCTGTTTACGATATTGAGAGGACGAAAAGTGAATGTCTGACGCTTTAACCGGGTCGGCGAACACCAATGGTCCACCTGGGTGAATTGGAAGACCCTGATTTCAAACCAATAGTGCACATAGGCTCCAGGATCCTGAAGAAACAAATGGTTTATGAACCAATCGTTGGGACTGCATCTGCTCCACTGCCCTGTGGATCAGATCTTTTGGTCGAAGGCTCCAAGTGTGACCCCTTAGGAATACCACCTGCTTCGGTTTGGGCAACCGGGTAGTATCATAGCCCACACACAAATCAGGTGACTTGTGTGGCGCTTATGTTTTTCGGTACCTATAGAAAAAGGAAAGTACACACTACCTATCGTTTAATGTTTCCAGTTTATTTCCGTTTATAGGTTACCAGGCAGCTGCTTCGTCGAAAAAGTCTGGAGGACCACCATATTCTACTCCTGGTAAGTTTATTTAAGTTACATATTCAATATGTTGCAAGGTTATAGGTATTAAACAGGAAACATCGTTGAAATAGTTCGGTGGTAACGTCTCAGGCTGTGAGACCAGGTGACAGAAGTTCTAATTCATTAAGAAGCATTAATTTTCTCAAGATTGTAGAGTACACCTTTCTGACGGGTATTGTTTGGCGTGTAACCTATGTTTTCACGGTTTTCTGTCGACTACCTCCAACCACTTGACATCTCAACATGGGTGTCGAGTCACTTAAACTGGTAGCCACTTTCCAACCTGACAAATACGATGTGATCAATATTGAAGGAATTAATAAATATGGTATTGATCACTACTCAGTGACTGATTAGTTTTGAAATAAATCTAGTTTTATACGGTGATTATCGTCAACAAATTGGTCATGTATATTATTAATATTTTAAAAAATATATTCGAGTGGTTTTTTTAAGATTTCGCACAAATTCTATTAAATGATCGCCATCATGAAATGAAACAAGCTATTTTAAACTAGAATTCACTTGAACAGAGAGCTTTGTTCATCACTATTCAATTTATCATCAGCACTGACCTTTGACAAAATGCTTTGGGATTTTTAAATCTCGCAAATTCATAACCTCATTGATTCATATAATAAACTTCAGTCAGGTTTGTGTTGCAGCTCATTAATTCTCAATAGTTTTTCAGTTAAAATCTATCTTTGGATCAACGCACTGTTAATTTTCGAGAGGCACTTTACCAATCAATTAATATTAAGACTTAATTATTTACCTTAAATCTTCACCCTGTCGATTGTAACTTTTGTGCGATTGCATCCATCCTTGCATATTTCTCTTACATTACCAAAAAAGAAATGCTATTTATCAATCGTGAGATTTTGGTTTGCATTTGATGGTTAACATTTCAAACATCATAAATCCGAAAGTATAATCATATTAAGCAATCTTTTTGGATTGCTCATGTTTTATGTGTATGTGTGCATAAAATGTACCAGTAGTAGTAAAGTGAAAGTTTTTGCGAATTATATTTGTGAACAGAAAATCAGTTTTAGTCGTCTACAATTATCGAGATACTTACCATTCGAAGGGATAGTGAGTCGTTTAGCACTTTTTTCGAAGTGTCAAGAAAGAAATGTCAGACTTAGGTTTTGTGTCTCTTGGAACTTATGAGCACTCACTTACCAGATAGCCATAATAGAACACAACACAGCAGGTAGGGAAATTCTAATTACACAGTTCACTTTCATGACTCAACCCATATAAAGTAAGTTATTGACCACACACCAACGTAAAAAATGATGTGACGATATTTACTGCCTAAATGGAAAAGGTTTGAGTAATGGGTTCATGATAAAGTAACAGTAACTCAAGAAAAGTACGAAACATAACAACAGCTTACGAATCACGGAAAAGCTTGCAAACAGGAGGGTACAAAACTACAATAATTTAAGTATTTAAAGATTATACTACAAAAATACAAACAACAACTTGAGGTAGGAAAGTTCTGAAAGTTCAACTTTGCTTAATATTTATCTCTTTATAGCAGTTACTCACAGTTTGAAACGTTACCAGCGATCTATTTGCATCGCTACGGAACTCTCACATGACCAACAGATGTACAGTTGATCGGTGACTGAGTAGTGGCTTTTACCATGTTTGTTTAGCCCTTTTAAAACTGATAGAATTCTATTTATCAGGTTGCAAATTTATCCACCTGGAAGCTTTCGTAAACGTAAAAGTATACCAAACCCAAGCAGGGTTATTTTCCAACTTGATCGTAAGATTCGATTAAGTATATTTACAACAGACTACCGATATAATGCAAATTTAAATGTTAAACACTATTGTAAGAAGAGTCTTCATTAAAATTCTTCATTCAGTATATCTTAGTAGCACTCAGCATAATTGTTCGTTTAGTTCAGTTTTTTCTTGAAAAAAATACTTGAGTCATTTCTTTGTTAAGTCGTGTAAATTTTCTTACCTACACATCTATTACATTTTTATATTTTAACATTGATATACAAGTAAAAATTATGAAGTTTTATAGCTAAGGGTTAATAGTTTACAGAAAATTTTTAAAACAGTTGCTTGGTTTAGACTAGTTTAGATTTGTTTTAATGATTAAGATGTTGAAGTTATTTTCAAGATTCTTCTCAAATATTTTATACTTAGTACCTAGGCCTCATTGTCAGTAATGATAATATAGCGGGCCCATATACACTTGAACATGTTAACGCTTAATCAAAATCCATTCGTATTGTAAATTCATGTTGCAGATTGATAAAAATTGTTATGCAAACTTATCGGACTTCTTTATGTGTCATCACTGTAATATTGTTTAGATTGTATGTATTCATCTATGGGCATTTCTGTATATGCATACTTCATTTGTCTTTATCACTCTTTGTCTGTTTTCATACATAAGCTGATTCACACTTAACATTTTTTGGCTAGTAATAGTCAAATATCATGCTGTATTCATCGATTGATTCTTACTATATGTCTGATAATTCATATACAGGAAATATACATCCTCAAAACTACTCGTGTTCGACTTTTTACTCCTACGTTTTATCAACGTGAGGAGTCGCAAATTTATATATCCTTAAAAGGATCTCTTTGACTAACATAATTTAAATTGTCTACAACTATTAGATAATTTAATTATTTTTATTTTACTATTTTGTCATAGCTTGTAGAGGGAAAGATGCTTTCATCATGCACACTAAAAATACATGGCTTGGATTTGTTAATTTACTAAAAGAACAAAATCTTATGCCTGCGATAGCATTTGCATTCTCTCGATCATCCGTTGAAACATTAGCTAAAAATCTATCATCAGTAGACCTAACAAGTAAATGTACGTGATGTGTTGTTGCTGTTTTGCAAGATATTTTTCCGATTATCTTATTCTTTTTGGGGTCGTGAAATTGTTAGAGTTTCCTTTCTTAGTTAGTGTACATTCTGGTCGATAAAGCAATGTGAAGATGCACACGATACATTTCGGATAATCTGGTCACACATGTATTTGTCAAGGTATTTGTGTGTAAAAGCAAGTGGAGATCAGTTAAACGCTTATAAATAATCGAGAAAAAAAATCAATATAATACGGAGAGAGAGAGAGAGTAAATGTTATCACACTATTATTGGCCGCGAAATTGCGTAGAGGATTACCAGCGACGATCTAAGGTTACGACAAATTGTGTTTTATAGACATAGAGGTCTGTATTTGCGAATCCCCAATGTTTCTATGAATACCCAGGAATTCATCCTTGACAATTTCGACACAGCGTTTTAAAATCTTTATTGAATGAATTTTAGAGTACTAAAAATTCCTATATTGTGAATTAGAACAATACATAAATTAGTGAACAATATTTCTTTGAATTAGATCTTAATCAGTCTTTAATACGAAAAGCTTATATGCATTTATGAAATTATTACCTGCTTTGGTTTGGGCGCCCGGACTGTATACCAGCCCTCACATAAATCGAATGACGGTGTGTGCGGCATATATATTTGGTGCTTCCTTGTACCCATGTTTATGTGTTTAAATAAATGAATGGAATTATTAAACCAATCAAGCGAGCTTGTGAGACAATGACAACGGTGGAATAAATTACATCTATAAATATATTCAGTAAAAAGTACAAATTGATAGGGCAATGATAGGTGTACTAATTGTGCTGCGAATAATAGAAGCTTGAATCAATGTTTCTTAAAAGGAGGTAGGTAAATGACTTGGGGAAGGTAAACACTGAAATAACATTTACGAAAAATTATCAAAATTGCATGACAAGAGTATTCAGTTTCGCCTCTTACATATGACAAAAGCTCTAAGGATTCAAGCTAACAATCCAAATCTTTATGGTCATAAGTAACACCCTTATCTCTTCCTTAGACGAATTAACCTTAACAAACAATTTTAATTAGTAAAAATGATGTTTTTTGTGATATGCCATTGAGTATAAATTCGTATTTCTGTTGTTTCTTGACTTAATTTGGAATCTAGAATTTGTGTTTCTTTCTAGTTGGGGTTCGTATATTATATGGACTTGGGTATTTGAAGCAAAGGTTCTGTGTTTGACTATTATTGTGAAAGTTAGGTGCATCTATCTCACGGGTCGCAAACCGGACGAAATACTTTTTCTCGATTTTATTGTTAGCCAAATACAAAATCTTCCAGAACTTGTGACATGACTCTACGTTTCGCGACAATTTTCTCAGATTGAAAGAAAAAGAAATTAATTACATACCTGATTATCTACTATAGTCAACTAATAACACTTACTAATTCACATGATATTTGTATGTATATTCTTTGTTTAGCTGAAAAACAACAAATTACGAAGTTTTTCTCTACAATTACTGGTCGCTTAAGAAAATGTGATCGAAAGCTTGCTTCAGTTAAATTTCTTCATGATTTAACTAGAAGAGGACTAGCTGTTCATCATAGTGGGATGTTACCTATGTTAAAAGAAGTGAGTGATATTTTTGCTGTTTGAATACTTTTGTTTTTTCTGAATTCAATTTCACTGGCGATATTTGTACTCGACATGGTGAAGAAATTGTGAATGACAAATATAGATTAGAAGAACTTTTAAGAGGACTTCTGTAAAAAAATGGAAGGAGTTAATAGTAAAGTTCATGATCACGGTAAATCAATATTTAAATGTATCACTTACCCATACACAATTTCATTCTTCAGTTAGATCATTCTCAATAATCTCGGTACGCATAACTTCCCTAAATCGCTGTATATCATGAAATAATGTATATGTGATATTTCTGGTGCTTTACGTTGAGTAAATTTGTTAACTACTTTTGTTCTGTGGGTTAATACACCATTGTTCCAGCTGATAAGTCTGCTACTGGGACGCTTACTACTGCCTTCACAGCCGCTTCCTATAACCCCAAACCACTTTTACATGTCGACTGGACCAATAGAGAAAATGTACAAAATACGAGTAGAAGCTTACTTTTAGTTTAGCTAATGTACAGAAAATTAAGGGTAACCTTGAGTCCCTAGAAATTTCTGTGTCCGTAAACGTGACATGTGTTTCCTCATTTTCTATGTTCTGAGGAGCTTCTATTCAGCACTGATTAGATAAGATTTTCTGTGTTTTACTAAGCCTCTAGGGACTTCGACGAGGGATATTTTGAAACTCTCGGACACTAGCTTATATCTAGGTTTGGGTTGTTGGCCCGCACAATTTTGTGACTGTACTTACTCTATCAAGTATTGTGTTATGTAGAGGTCATTGATTCAGCTCTCACTCTAATCCGACCGATTAAGTTATCGTGTTGAGTATAGTAATCCAGTATCTAGCGTTTTATCTTGTATCCAGTGTGAGATCTAAATTACAAACCTCGTTTTTTTGTCCTAACAGAGTGCTGTTGGTTGGTTTAGTAACTATATAACTATATCAATACTAACCACGATATTTTTATAAGATTTTCTAAGAGAAAATATAACTTTATTTTGAATAGTTCCTGTGTGTAAACCATTCGCAGCATTTTATACAGTATTCAAGCCCATATTGTTACTTATCGATCTCCAACTTTTCCAAAATTTAAACTGTTTACTTACACCAAGTAAGATTGATTAAAATATCCATGATCACTTTGCCTACAATTGCTTCCGTTTCTTCTGTATTCTCCTCTCTCTTCAAATAATGTCTTGTGTGGCTAATCTTCTTTAATACTACCATTATCGTCACTATTTCTATCATTTTAGAATATTTCTGTGGTGATATAGTGTGTGAATCTAATACAATTACATTCCAGATTGAACAACATATTGATGCTTTTGTACATTTGCGTTGATTCTTTCAATAATAACTACTTTTCTTTATTTGTTAATAATTTATATCTACTAGACTGTGGAACTTTTATTTAGAGCTGGTTTAGTGAAAATTCTTTTCGCTACTGAAACAGTTTCTACAGGAGTTAATACACCTGCACGTTGTGTAGTCTTTACGTCGCTTGAAAAATTTGATGGTCATAAGAGACGTTCTTTGGATTCAAGTAAGTATTATAGTGTAATATATAGTCAGGCAGCTTTGTTAAGCATTATATATATGCATAATTTATGGGACAATAATTAATACCTACTCACTAATATGCAACCACTATAAATAAATTAGATTCTCTGACATCTGATTGTATCGTTTCAACTATAAATGTGTTGTGATAGATGCTGTGGTTATCTATAACATTTTCAATGTTCACTAAATATACCGTTTACTTACTACTTACGCCTGTTACTCCCAGTGGAGCATAGGCCGCCGACCAGCATTTTGCAACCCACTCTGTTCTGGGCCTTCCTTTCTAGATCTATCAAATTCTTGTTCATTTTTATCATGTCTATCTCCATTTCCCGGCGTAATATGTTCTTTGGTCTTCCTCTCCTCCTTTTGCTTTGAGGATTCCACGCGAGGACTTGCCTTGTGACGCAGTTGGCTGCTTTCCTCAATGTGTGTCCTATCCACTTCCAGCACTTCTTTCTGATTTCTTCCTCCACTGGGATCTGCTTTGTTCTCTCCCACAGTAGGTTGTTGCTGATAGTGTCTGACCAACGGATCCGAAGTATTTTGCGTAGACAGCTGTTAATAAACACCTGTATCTTCTGGATGATGGCTTTCGTAGTTCTACAGGTTTCCACACCATACAGTAGAACTGCCTTGACATTTGCATTGAAGATCCTGACCTTGGTGTTGGTTGACAATTGTTTTGAGTTCCAGATGTTCTTCAGTTGTAAATATGCTGCTCTTGCTTTTCCGATCCGCGTCTTCACATCTGCATCATATCCACGTGTTCTTCAATGATGCTGCCTAGATATGTAAAGGTTTTTACATCTTTCAAATCTCCGTCAATTGTGATTGGATTGGTGCATGCTGTGTTGTAGTATCGGAGAATCTTGCTTTCCCCTTTGTGTATGTTGAGGCCTACTGCTGCTGAGGCTGCTGCTACATTGGTCGTCTTCTCCTGCATTTGTTATCGCGCTTGCGATAGAAGAGCCAGATCATCTGTGAAGTTTAGATCGTCTAACTGCATCCTAAATGTCCACTGTATCCCGTGTTTCCCTCCAGATTTTGACGTCTTCATAATCCAGTCGATCACCAGAATCAAGAGAAAGGGTGAGAGTAAGCAACCTTGCCTGACACCGGTCTTTGCTTCGAACGAGTTTGTCATCCGTCCTCCATGCACGATTTTGCAATTTAATCCATCATAGGAATTTCGTATGGTACTGACTATCTTCTCAGGTACGCCGTAGTGTCTAGGAAGCCTCTATAGTGTTGTCCTGTCCACGCTATCAAATGCTTTCTCGTATTCAATGAAGTTGATGTAGAGTGATGAATTCCATTCAATTGATTGTTCCTTTAGTTGCCCGTGATCTGACTCCAATTTGATCGTAATGATTGGTTGCTATCGTCTATCCTCGTATATAATCATTGACTTAAATCGCGTTAGTTAATAACGGAATTAAATAAGTCAAATAACGAGAATGGAGTTTTGAATGCATATATTTCGTATAATTGTTGATTCGACAAACGAACGGAGGAACGATGCGAAGATTAGAAAGCGAAGCTAAGTTGACGCGCAGTGGAGATGGCTGGTAAGCCGACTCCCCTTTAACAAAGAGTTAATCAATATTTATAAGCCCACAAAAATAAATCACAGACATGTGATGAGTAACGGGATAAGAAGTGTACATACGCTACGCGCTCATACATAGAGACAGTCAAGATATTGATAAGTGAATAATTAACAAGGTCAGAATGTGATTCAAATAGAATGAATAGAATGGGCTGTTCGAAAGTTAGAATAATGAGGTATTTGGGCTTAACATAATGACAGACACTACATCCACAATGATCCGTAGTGTTGCTATTTGGTCTGTACACGATCTATCCTTACGGAGTCCTGCATTCTGTTTAACCATACCCTGTTGAAGACTTTTCCTGGTATTGAGAGAAGAGTGATGCCTCTGTAGTTCTCACGCTTGCTGAGATCGTCTTTTTTGGTATCTTGATCAGATGTAATTCTTTCCAGTTTGTTGGTACTTGTTCTTCATCCCAAATCTTGCTGAAGAGAATGTGGCGTATCTTTACAGTTACTGTTACATCTACTTTCAATGCCTCTGCTGGAATATTGTCTGGTTCCGCTGCTTTGCCACTCTTGATTTGTCTGAAGGCATTGGTGATCTCTTCAATTGTTGGTGGGCCAACATCGGTTGGTAGGTTCGTGGATGCTGCTTCGATGTTGGGTGGGTTCAGTTTAGCTGGTCGATTCTGAAGTTCTTTGAAGTGTTCTGCCCACCTGTTTCGCTGTTCTTCAATGCTGATGATTACTTTGTCTTCATTGCTTTTGCACTGGTCGTTCTGGTTTACGATAATTCCTAGCAAGTTTCTTTGTTGTATCATACAATTGTCTCATGTTTCCTTCTCTTGCAGCCTTTTCCGCCGTCATTGCTAGATCTTCCACATATTTACGTTTGTCAGTTCTGATGCTCCTCTTCACTTGCTTGTGTGCATTCAGCTTTGCCTTGGCTTTTTCTGCTGTTGTTCGGCTGGTATTGATTGCTGCCTTCTTGTTCCACACCGGACGCGGTTCATAGCGGAGAAAAATGACTTCACCCAACTGCTGACACGGTTATTTTCATAATGTATCAGTTTATTTATCAAACTATTCGTTCAAATTTGGACAAATGATCATAGCAATCATCATTCATATGGTCACTTTACAAATAAGATAAAATACCAGTGCACATGACAAATAAACCATAAAAAATATAGAGCTAAAATGATTTTTAATACAAAATTGAGTAACACATTTATAATTAAAAAAAGATATTTCTACGAGGAAAATTTTCTTCACAGTATCATTTTCTCAAGCTGTACAGTCGTATTTACAGGTAATTTTTTATGTGTAGTGGTCTATAGTAAAATGGGGGAGTGTTACGAAATTATCAAAGATAATCAAACTTATCCAAATGTCGGATATAAAAATCAAAGAAAATAAAATGGTGTTGTATAATATAATCAAGATTATCAGTATAGGGTTGTGGGGATTTTTAAATTTTAATTTAGATCATGAATCGATCAGTGTTAGACCACCACTGAAAACCTGAATGGCCCTAGTATGGGACATTGGTCGGTTCATGATCTCAATTAAAACCCATCAATCTCCACAACCCTATACTGATGATTATCATATACCCACTAGTGACTAGCTTTGTGAGAATCTGTGACCAGTAGGGTTCAACAGTGTCGGGTATGAAACAGTTATCTACCAAAGAAGATGAAAGATGGTCGTGCAATATCGTGGATTGGTTGAAGTTAAACATTATTCTCTGAAAAAGTGACATACACTAAGTCACGAAGCGTCAGAAAATCTAATTTTCTACTCATTGGGATATTACAAATATAGTATTTATTTTAACACCCTCGGTTCCCAGTTTAGTGGTCTATAGGTTAAGCGTCCATGTGAGACCAAACGTCCCTCTCATTAAGTTTTGTTGGTGTTTGTTTTAATTGAGCTGATCGTTTTCGCATTTTTTATACCTAGCTGTTTTTACTACTACTAATATTGTTAGTGCTCCTACACTAATCTTTCAATTTGGTTAAAAATCTACTTACTTTAGTATTATGTAAGGGATATCTCAACCGCTGAATTTTTATATTGAATGCATTTAGGAAATTTATACCATCACTTTAATGATCGTTCATATTTATTTTCTGTCTGGTTGTATAATATTGCTGTCTATTATCTATCCTTTTCACCAATTCAATTCGTCCAAAGTTTCATGCCTAATTTCAAATTCAAATCAAACTTTAATGATATTTCTATTTATTTCTATTGATATTTTCCATAATATATTATCATTATTGTTATTATTATTGCTATTACTGTTATTAGGTGAATTTACTCAAATGGCTGGTCGAGCAGGTCGTCGTGGTATAGACGCTAAAGGTCTTGTAATTATTTTGGTTAGTACTATTGAAAAATCGTTAAAATCATCTGTCACTGGTCTACCGACTGAAAGTCTTTTGCGAAATATGATACTTGGAAGACAAACAGAATTAATTTCACGATTCAGGGTCACGTATTCTATGATTTTAAATTTACATCGATCATCTTCACTAACTCCACAGGTAATTTGCCTCTTAGTAATCCTTGTATTTAACACAAATGCATACTCTTTAAATCTTTTAATCCGTTAACGCGGGTGTAATACACTTTACTAATCAGTTTAATAGTATGTTCTCTGATCTAGATGATTTAATTCCGGAGCTATCATTGTCTCCCTGGATGGACCACTTCATTAGTGTTTACTGTTCTCAAATAAAGTAGTGTTATTTAAACCTTTTTGATATTCTATCATTCTAATGAACTATGTTTTTTGTTTGATTTTCTGTTCAACTAATCTTTAAAATACATGACTTTTACTGATCCATATTGTCAAGCTGTCGATAAACATGTTTACACCTGTTTTTGTCAAATCAATCCTACATAAACCACAACCTTTTAAGGAATCTAGTTTATGTTTTCGAATTTACCACCTATGTACTAAGGCCAGGTGGCACCGTTTACTCTTAACGGTGAACACGAGTATAGGTTCAGAAACTAGGCGTTTGGTATCATAATCCAAATGCTCAAACCCATGAATTTTCTTCTACCTCTTCCACCATATGTGTGTTAAGTAAACTACTATATACGTGATAAGTGATCAATTACCCATACAAAATTTCTCACCTGTATTGAGTTTGCCAAATCAATACACTAGAAATGCAGCTGAACCTTTTGTATTATCTTACATCGTTTTTAGACTGAATGTTACTTAATGATGATATACGTGTTATACAAGCCCAAAACATACCATAAATCAAATTTAATTTTTTTTAGTTGGAAGTATGAGTAGTAGATTTATGACTCAATAATTTAACAATGAAAAAAATAACCATGGTACCGTTTATTGTATCATTCTTTGTCAAGTACGTTTCACTCGATCCATTGTAAGCGTACAGTTGACTCGACCGGATTTATGTTCTGTGACTTACTTACTTACTTACGCCTGTTACTCCTCGTGAAGGAGCATAGGCCGCTCACCAGCATTCTCCATCCAACCCTGTCCTGGGCAATCCTTTCAAGCTCTTTCCAGTTCTTATTCATCTTTTTCATATCTGCTTCTATTTCCCGACGTAATGTGTTCTTTGGCCTTCCTCTTTTCCGCTTCCCTTCAGGATTCCAAGTTAGCGCTTGTCTCGTAATGCAGTTTGATGATTTCCTCAATGTATGTCCTATCCATTTCCATCGTCTTTTCCTAATTTCCTCTTCAGCTGGAAGCTGGTTGGTTCTCTCCCACAAAAGGCTGTTGCTGATGGTATCCGGCCAATGGATGTTGAGTATCATGCGTAGACAGCTATTAATAAATACCTGTACCTTCTTGATGGTGGTTGTTGTAGTTCTCCAAGTTTCAGCTCCGTACAGTAGAACTGCCTTGACGTTCGTATTGAAGATTCTGACTTTGATATTGGTTGAAAGTTGTTTTGAGTTCCATATGTTCTTCAGTTGAAGGAATGCCGCTCTAGCTTTGCCAATCCTCGCCTTGACGTCTGCATCTGAACCTCCTTGTTTATCGACGATGCTTCCCAGGTATGTGAAGGATTCCACGTCTTCCAGAGTTTCGCCATCAAGAGTGATTGGATTGCTGTTCTCCGTGTTGTGTTTGAGGACCTTGGTTTCCCCTTTGTGTATGTTGAGGCCTACTGATGCAGAGACTGCTGCTATGCTGGCTGTCTTTATCTGCATTTGTTCGTGTGTATGTGATAGGAGGGCTAGGTCATCTGCGAAGTCCAAGTCGTCTAATTGGTTCTGAGCTGTCCATCGTATGCCGTGGTTTCCCTCAGATTTCGAGGTCTTCATAATCCAGTCGACCACCAGGAGAAACAGGAAGGGAGAGAGTAGACAGCATTGTCTAACTCCGGTTCTTACTTGGAATGCGTCTGTCAGCTGTCCTCCATGCACTACTTTGCACTGTAGTCCGTCGTATGAGTTCCGGATAATGTTGACAATCTTCTCAGGAACTCCGTAGTGTCGAAGAAGTTTCCATAACGTCCTCCTATCTACACTGTCAAATGCCTTCTCATAATCAATGAAGTTGATGTAGAGTGACGAGTTCCACTCAATTGATTGTTCGACGATGATCCGTAGTGTCGCAATCTGGTCTGTGCACGACCGGTCCTTACGGAATCCAGCTTGTTGATCTCGAAGTTGAGCGTCAACTGCGTCTTTCATCCTGTTCAGTAACACTCTGTTGAAGACTTTACCCGGTATTGACAGTAGTGTAATGCCTCTGTAGTTTTCACACTTGCTCAGATCTCCTTTCTTTGGAATCTTGATGAGGTGTCCTTCTTTCCAATCCATCGGCACTTGTTCCTCCTCCCAAATCTTCTTGAATAGAAGATGAAGCATGCTTGTAGTTACTTCGATGTCTGACTTCAACGCTTCAGCTGGTATATTGTCAGGTCCTGCTGCTTTCCCGCTCTTATGTTCTGTGAACAAATATGAATATCTGAACTTTATCAATCATTGTGAATAAAAAATAAGGCGAGTAATCATAATTAATTTAAACTGAGTAGTTCATAAAATCTGTACAGTTCTTGTTATGAAAACACAATAAAAATAACAAATTAGAAACCATAATGCACTAAATGGTTGTTTCATTTTAGTTCTAGTCTTTTGCAAAGTATGCATTCACGTGCATAATGAATATTGAACTCAGGATCTTTAGGGTTTAAGACAAGTACTTAACTTTTGATGGAGTTTTGTTCTCTGAGCTCAGAGAACAAAACTCCATCAAAATCATCCACCTGAGTTACAAATCTTCTCCCCCATCTCACAAGTACTTAACCTTTAGACTACTGAGTTAGCATCCGATGGTTTACACTTTAAATTCAATCAACTGGAGACATTGCAAATCATCTAATGTCATCGGTTGGTAGTTGTTTCACAGTCAATATGTTTGAATTATACTACTGGCCACGGCTTCCCATTCTATAACTTCGGAAATTACCCTTCGATTTCTAGTAGAGAGAAAACAGATGTCCAATGCTTCTTAGTTCCCAGTGGTTGCATAGCTAGAGTCAGCTCGTAAAGTAAACTATCAAATTCAACAATTTCCACAGACCACACACTAACAATAACGAAATTCAACATTTACTTTCGTCTACGGAATTGCTAGTTTTCTCAATATTACTAAGAAAATAGGTGGATCCATTGAAATAATTAAAGCGATGGTGTGGCAGTTGGTGTTGTTACACGTTTACACAATTTACTCTTGGATAGATGAATTATCCTAATCTTTCCAGTCATTTTGTCACATTTATGTGATCATGAGGATGTGTTTACAGTAGTATGTATGTGTCCATGCGGTTGTCTGGAAAGCCCTTCTCCATTTTTCACTCCTTGTCTGTTTGAGTAAATCAGTGCCTGAAATAAACTCTTCCAACTCAATTCGTGTTTGAATATTGTAACCACCATTGCCCAAATGAGGTTAGCCTAAGTGTGATATGTGTGGTACAACGGAAGATTTATATTTTGTGATCCATTCATCATCATCCATTATGAAGTCAGATCGTGAGCACCAAAATGGTAATCATCTAATAGACTAACATCTTTACTTGTCAATGAGTTGACAAAAGATGTGTTCATAACACTATTGAATTTCTTAATAAGATCTCGAGTATTTTCCATTTATGTCCATTGATAAATATTGCTTACTCATCAAATCATGAGAAGTTTCTTATTGCTTTCAATAATTCTGTATTTCTTTCAGGATATTATGAAGCGTAGTTTTATGGAAGCAGCAAGTCATCGATGGGAGACTAAACAAAGACAACATTTATCAGTATTAAATAAAAAGTTAAGTGAAACTACTAAAATAATTTCACATAATAATACTGATGATAATATTAATAATATTACCATCCAGACATCAACTATTGCAATTTCAACATCCACTGAAATTACTAGTGATTCGTTTAAATCTCTGATTGATAGTCTTGATGTACAGGTTAAATGTCCACATAATGGAGTTGAATGCTGTGATTCCATATGTCAATACTATCAAGTTAGTTAAAATGCCGATTTACCAATACATTTTTGTTGCTTTTTTCACATACGATAAAATACTCACTAATTTCTATCAGTTTGATACGATAATATGTTCGGTTGTGTAGCGTTCAATTCAGACACCAATGAACACAAGCTTCTATATACGCGAGCTCAATGGGTTGTTTCAGTGAGAAATCCAAGATTGAGAAGAAAGTTTTACTGGAATACATGTATAATCATATATATATATATATATATATATATATATATATATATATATATATATATATATATATATATATATATATATATATATATATATATATATATAATCTTTCCACTCAATAAGATTACGTATCAGTATCAACTTTCGAACCCTGCACAACACAATAGTAATAAAGAACAAAGTAGTCAGTAAAACTGAAAGATTAATTTTACGAGTCTTATAGGTATAAACTGTCGAATTCGAATCATTGTTTACAAAGAATAATTGTTAAATAGGATGGTTGGGTAATGGTTAGCTGTATAATCCTCGATAAGGGCTGATTGGCAAAGAAAAGGTTATTCAGCGTGCTCCATCATAGTCTTGTATTGGAAGTGATTTAATCCAGTCTATGTCCCGCTAACAGAACTCGTTAGCTAGGCACAAGTGGGTGTCAGTGGTAATATATTCGTATTGTGCTACGAACCTGTTATTATAAACACCAAATTTTTATCCATTAGGCGACTGAATCTCTTGTAGTTACGGTCAAAATCAAAGCATCCATTCATGAACACACGCACCGGCAGTAACTGAACAAAAGATTCCTAAATAGCCAACATAGTCATTCATAAACAACATAGAGCCTGATACATGTGCATCGGTCAAAGTTACCATAGTATATCAGAGTAACGGAGTGGTATAATCAATAACAATCTCAATCTAATATAAACTGTATACATGTTTGTCTTAGTGTGGTGTTTGCTACTTATACGGCCAGATATCAGTAGTATGTATCAAAATTCGGTAGTAGAATTCTTTGTGACAGAAGAGGGAAATGTGGGTAACAGAAAGAAAAGGATAAGCAGTCCGAGCAGCAACAGGAATAAAACGGCGACGAACCTTGCAAGAAACAATTCAGGGAATGTGTGCAAATGATGTATTCGATGTATTGTTTTCATATATTACAAATGCGGTGTGTGATTTTGGACTGTACAGTAAATTAATTGGTCTACTACCTAAGACTTCGTTCATTACAGAAGTATCAAGCATCACTCATAGGCAATATGATTCCAGAAGAAAGAATGAATTTGCAGCATAAAAATTGTAGAATTCTTATGGAACTGGGTCTCATGAGGGCTAAAGGGTATGTGCACTACTGGGACCGATCATGACCCGTCACTCAGTCTCCAACCACTAACCTTAAGGATTGCTTTGACTCCAATCAAGTGATTAATTAATCTTCACCTACAAACACGAATAAGTCTAACAGTTAATTACTTCGTTAAGTGATGTCACATCTGGGAATCGCCACTTTCAGCCTTTCTCTAAAATCAGTCAGGTGGAAATAGGAGCCCAAATATATAATAGAAAATTAAAGATATGATAAATATTTTCTATACAAGTTAAGTTTTTTTCTCAGTTATCAATAAAGCTTAATAATAATACCAATACTATTACTAATAGTAATAGTGTAATAATCATACTACTAACAATAACAAGAATAAATATTTAATGATGACAGTAATGACTAGTGATAACTGTAGCTTGTAAAACTTTGACAATGTCAATTTAGATTTTTCGTAGACTGTTATGTTTTGCCAAGTATGTTCTAATGTTTTACTTTTGATAAGTAGATTAATTCAGGCTTTTGTTTCGATAGACAGTAGTAGTTTTCTTGATTGGTTTACCTTTTCACAAGATTTATTGTTCATTACATATGTACATATAAATGTTTTTTAATGTTGTATGATGAGTGTGTATACACTGTCTAAATGTTTTGTTTTGTTACACAGTTATGTTACAAATATCGCCAACTAACAAATTCAATTATTTCTACACTTGATGTAAAGTATGCGCAACGTTTACAGCAAATTTTTTGTCCCGGTCGTTTAATATTACTCCAGTTAATGATAAGCGAGTCTGTTTGGTTAGTACCAGCTGTTATTATAAATTACCATTGGAAAACAAGAAATAATGATGCTGAAAATCAAATAATGGTGCGTAGGTAACTTTTTAAAAGTATTTATTATATATAAGTTTACAACGTGGACGTAGGTCGGCCAGAAGCCAGCCTAATTGAACCTAGAAGGTGATCTTCAGATAATCGATAATTGACATCTTAAGTCATTCACTAGCAAGCTTACCATTGAACTATCTGGACCACGATTGGCTTTTTGTTGGACTAATGTACTAACATCAAGTGATCACTAAATCGAAACCAACATCGTTCGTGATGTTCATAGTGCTGATGGCAATCTATCGATCAAATGTTTGCTTGCATCAGATATATACACAATCGGAACATGATCGACGATCAACCAGCATCGTTTCGTCTTTTCAACTGATTTATACTGTATTTAAATTTACTCTCTGTTGTCAATTTATAACTTCACTATTTATAAAAGAGACTTTGATACATTCAAATGTTGACAAGATACACTTTCGTTCTTTATTATGAGTTACACGTCTACTCTATACCCATCCTCCAGATAATATTGTACGTACTGCGTTTAGGCAGTAACATACAATGACCGTAGGCTATATAACATTGTTAGCAAACTAGAATTGAAAACAGTTAATCAATTAACACTGGATGTTATTAAATAAATGTGGTGGCAGGAAAATATCACTGAGGTTGTTCTTTGAAAAAATGAACTAATGTGTCATAACAAATATTTAGATAGCCCGCTCTCTCATGAGTACTGTTCTAGCCAGATAATGTTAAAATCGTACGAGTTATTAGCCACTTATCTGTTATTGTAGTGTTCAGTTATGCTTTGGAGAGTAAAAAATATGTACAGTTCACCTACAACTTAAATAACCTATGTTTAGGAGTTAGTTTTCTCATTTTAGTCAATTTTCGATAGTATGGTATCAGACAATACTTTAACCGTTTTTTACAGCAAATGGGACCTTGAGATGTTTTAAACATAACAGGTGGAAACGCCTAACACGTTTATGAGGCTATTTAATTGAAATAACTGAATCATCTCTATAAATGTTAGATTATTAAATAGCGGATGGTCCCTTAGGTTTTGAGCTTCGTAATGTCCCTGTCTTTGACTATAATGAATGTATTTAATGTTCAAGATGTACGCAACCTTTCCGTAATGTAAATTTATTGGGCATAATGTGATAACCGCACCACAAATAAAATAGATGAAACTCTAACTGAACTAGTGACTAGTCATAATAATTCTGATTAGTTTTGTGATAGAATGGTTAGACTTATTGGTTTAGCTATTAATTATGATGCATATTACATGAGTTGTCGTAATCAGTTTTAAAAAATAAACATGAAATCGCTAATATTTCTTGGATACACGTTTGCATGATATACGTTACTTCATTGTAATTGTTTCATTAGCCTGATGGCAGTACTGTTAAGTTTTATTGTTGCTTTATATTTTTCCATCAATGGGTTAGTTAGCTAAGACGAAGAGGGTTCCCAAACACTACCAAAAAGAGTTATTCCTATGGTGCACCTTCAATGTTTAGTTTAGATATAATAATGTGCTCCACAGACGAACTGATGGCATTACTTTGAGTTCACCATTCGGTTCTCTTCTAACGGATCTTTTCACGACCAATCTTAAGAACAAAGTGCTTCAACAGACGATTGATGGCTTTCATTTACACAACAGATATATGTATGACACTTTCATTATTTATGATTAAAACAGTGAACTTAATGTCACCTTCGTTAAGTTCAATAATTGTTATCGATTCATCAAATTTACATTGGAATCAGAATCGAATTCAAAACAAAATTTCCTCGGTGCCTTAATAAATAGAAGACAGTGGTACATTACAAAGGTTTATATTACCGAAAATCCACTTGGAATCAACAATATACAAATTTTCATAGCTGGAAATTATTTCAATATTTACCATCAAGGGCTAGATGAATATTCTCGAAAGACACGATTTACGAGGAAACTATCCAACCTTCAACAGATTTTCCTCAGAAACGGTTATTCATTCAGGCTTGTTGAGCGAGAAATGAAACATCAATTGCAATCTGCAAGACCTGAGAAAACTCTCTCTTCAAAAGAGATCCTGCTTATGAAACTTTGAAGAATCGTCTAACGTAATTCTTCAGAATACCTTTTATGCTGTCAAGCTTCGCATTCTCCTTTCCAACCGCATCATTTTTGTATGTGTGAAGAGCAGACCTCCACATTGGGCCACATAAATATGTATTTATAGATTCACTTTTTTCGTGAGGCAAATTACATTGCCCATACAATGAAACGCTATCAAACGCATCTCTTAACATTATCCTTCATGGCTTTCAAATGGCAAATGTAAATCAATTAACAGTTCAGTATTAGACCATGTTGTGAGCTCTAGTTAAATAACCTCATCTAATAAGTTCTTTAAAATCACCTATACATTCCGACGATTTGTTTCAAAAAAATCGCAAATCAATAACTTACTCACTGTGGAGACTCTAGCGATCCACTTTTTTTTCAAAGCTCAAACTCTGTGTGCAAAAGACACATAAAAGCCATCATTCTTCCATGGCTATAACACGTAATTTTCATATATGATAATTTGGTTTTATTACATTCTTATGATGTTTTCAATCTTAGTTTTGATCGTTCGTTTCTGTCACTTATTTGCTTTTGAAATTTCTACATTTTTTAATTCTGATATTCGTCAAGTTGGTTTCATCTCGTTATCTTTTATTTGACTTTCAACTAGTAAACAACTTTCTTTGACACACGATGTGATGTAATTGTCCTCTTATTTCTCAATAAACCATATTATTTGTAAATTAACTAGAAATAATATATTAAAACAGTATATATATATATATATATATATATATATATATATATATATATATATATATATATATATATACAAAATAATACATTAGTCTGTTTGGTGTAATACATTATTTCATACATCTATTTTTAATGCCTTTCTCTATCATGTTCTACGTTCAAATGTTTTTGCAAAATATTTATCTAGCTCAATGTTATTCTATGGGAACTACCTATTAATTTGCCGAATTCTTTGAGACTTATCAAAAAACAGGAAGACGAACAGTCCTCCTCATCATCATCAGAATTAGTATTAGTAGTATCTGGAAGTGATACCGTCACATCTGAACAAATGAATAATAACAAGGATACTAATTACTATGAATATGATGAAATCGAAGAGAAAATTCTACGTAATTCCATTAATGAAGGTAGAACGACAACAATACCGGTTCCACCACATTTAATGCCCGTTTTTGTGCCCTCTGTAAGTGTTGCTTTGTTTATACATCCAATTTACTTATAAAAATTTCTTCTGATGATCTTTGTGGATTTGTGTATATATCGCAATGGTATAATGTATAATTTTTAATGTACCTCAATAGTATGTAATATTAGATTTTTTCTCTGCTCCATTTTAATTCCTTTGCCATGTATAAATAAAATAGTTGATCACCACGAAGGACTATTTGATATGACTAAGTATTGCGTAATCTATATAGTGTAGTTCACTGTTCGATTTCGACACTGATACGCTAGTTCAACTGGCTATTGAAGTGAGAATACCGAGAGTGGGAATGCAACTTTATTAACTAAATCAAATTACAGTATATATATATATATATATATATATATATATATATATATATATATATATATATATATATATATATATATATATATATATATATCCTTCATTTATGAGAATAGAAAGTCAAATATCAGCCAATAGCATGAACCTATCGTTTGGTTGATGTTTGATTGACATAATGTATCAATTTGTTAATCCCGTTGGATCATGATATTCGCTATTGTATACTGATCAAAACTTCCATGCTTTTAAAGTAATGTAATCCTATTAATCCAAAAATTTAAAATGAAGTATTAAAATAAAGGCTTTTGGGAAAATGGAACCCAATCAGTTCTAATTACAAACGGTATTGTATAGTTTTGTTTTAAAGAAAATTTAAACTTAATACCTTTTTAAATTGTAATCTTCATTTGAAATAAAGCAGTGTCGTATTACATCAGATGTAGATAATATTATTATTTTCATATCTACATTTTTATTCATTTAGTCATTAGACGATGGATATTCACGTTTAACACGTCAATCAGTTCCATTAAGTGATTCACTTGTAAGAATCTGCGATCAAATTGTTACCTTTCAAGATATGGGACACAATCTAATTGATGACGATAATTCGAAAGTACATTTGAATACTTCAGAACTTTTATTACAAAGTATTAAACGACTATTTATTATTCAGCGAAAAGATGATACTAAATTGTTATCTGTCGACGGCAATGATCATCAGTTTGATCAACATTTACAAGTTATTAATTTGTCTCTTTTTAATTGTGTAAATTCAATAGTACCTCAAGAATCATCATTAACATCTGCAGTTTACTATACTACTCTAAGAAATACACCAAAACAAATGGATTTTAAAAAGGATTTAAACCTTGTAATGGATAAAGAGGTGAATGACCTTTTTTTAAAAATATGTTTGCTTTTTTTCCTCATAAATTGAAATTATTCTATATGATTTACTAATCGCAGTAGTAAGAATTCAAATTCTACTATCGTTAATATTCTTAACCGGATTTTAATCCATCCTGAACAGAATAATTGAACCCTTTATTGGAAATCTTATGCAACATTATACCTTCCTAATAAAACTGGTAGCTATCTAAACTTAGGATAGCTAGCTCAGGGGATTGCTCATTACAATTTAAAAGGTACTAGATTCGACTCTAAATGTGAATGTCAACGGGATTAAAGTGTACATATACATACATAATGAAATGAATGAACCATCGAATCAATTAAGCTCAAGCATACATATTCATACAAGTGCGACAATAATAAACGTACAATGGTATAGATAAGTTGTTATTGTACGAATGACTCTGTCCGTTAAATAAGTTAGCAAAAGGGCTTGAGCAAATGAAATATGAACAAACTCAATTGCATGTGGGCTGCTATAATAGTTCACCCCGCAAACCAAGATACAAAACAGTGTCTGTGTTTGCGAAAAAATGTTAGGTCTAATAGGACAGTAAATATCGAAATTTACGAAATTAAGATGTATGATAAAACTATCGTGTATATTATTACAAATACGTGTAAACTTGAGTTCGTATACGTCCGTGAGTCCAAATAAGATAATAAAGGAAGATCGAAAGATTACAGTAGTGCTTTTAGAAGTTTATACACATCGACATCAGAATATAATGATAGATAAGTTAAAATGTTTGATATGCTCATACAAAACAAAGATGAACGAAATTTACATCTGAAGAGGTAAAATGAATTATTAATTGAAAATCGTAGCTATGTATCGTTGCGGCATCTCACTCTTCGACCATATCTTGTCGTTGTTGGATTCTCTTCGTTTTACTTCGTCTATGTTGTTGATGATTGATGATTGGAACTCACGTTTCGGTGATTCGACAGTTTTCGAAGAATCTGTATGTACTGGCTGATCGTCAGTTTCGATGAAAGCCGGTTTGATTCGGTCGATGCTGATTACATCCGTTTTTCTAGCTTTATCTACAGTAATAGTTTTACCATTTTTTCTAGTCCTTTTTAATGGGCCATCTTACTCATATGCTGCTTTAGACGTTGTACATAGTTAGCTAAGTCAGTTAGAACACTTACCTGCGGTGGAAAATTCTCCTAGTAGATATAGAGTAGTTCCATAAACCAACTCTGCTGGGCAACATCCTATATCTTCTTTAATTGTTGATCTCAAACTCAACATGACTATTGGGAGCTTGCTGGCTCAATCATTATCGCTAATAACAGCTGTAAGAAAGGCTTTATGTTCCCGATGTTATCTCTCTACCATACCATGCGCCATCGGGTGGTAGGATGTTGTGCGAATACGTTTGATTCCAAGGAACTCTGTGAGTTGTTGGGAGAGGCGTCTCTCAATTTGAACTCTATCGGTTATACTATTAGTAGGCACTCCATAATAAGGGAATCAGTGCTCCACTAGGGTTTTGGCAATACTTTCGGCTGAAATGTCTTTTACGGGCACTGCTATAGGCCATCGCGTGAATCTATCAATGCAGGTGAAAATATAACTGGAGCCATTTGGAATCGACAGCGGTCCCACAATATCGGGATGTATATGCTCTCACCTGACCTACTGCGGAACTAGTGTGGCAATGTCTCTTAACTTTCTGGTAAGCTTGTGTCGAGTTACGAATAATACGGTTCATACTTGAACATAAAAAACGCTCGCTGATTAGCTTGATCGTGACCTTTATTACAGGATGCGAAATATTATGCATAGCTTCGAAAACTTTTCGCCTTAGTGGCTTCGGAATAAACGGTCGTGGTTGGCCCGTAGAAATATCACACGTGATGCTTACTTTTTCGAATGGAGTTTCTTTTAGTGTCAAAGAGGTTGTGTTGGCAGACCTTAGTCTGTTTAGCTCAACATCTATATTTTGCAATGCTGCTAATTTGTGATAATCGATTCCAGATTAGATGAAAGCGTTTATCATCGTTCTGGACGACGCATCTGCCACTTCGTTATTATTGCCTTTAATATACTGTATGATAGACGTTAATTGGGAAATAAATTCTAATTGTCGAATTTCCCTCGGTGAATAGTTATCCTGCTTGGCGTTTAATACTTTCATGAGGGGTTTATGATCTGTATACACTGTGAAAATGGTACCCTCTATCATATGTCGGAAGTGCTTTATTACCAAGTAAAAAAGGGCTGCACGTGAGCTGCTATAGTGTGCAATAACTTTATTGACCAAATCACAATTTCTAGTGAACTATTGAATTACAGATAATAGAGAACCTCACCAACATTTAGTTTATAAAAAATAGATTAGAAATTTCAATGAATTGATACTATGTATGATTCATCTAACTATTCAGTTTTATTATTACTGTACTATTGAACAACTTATAAACATGAGAGATAACAAATCCATTCACAAGTAAGTGGGAAACTTCAAATATCATGAGAAATAATTTTGTATCATTTTAGTATTTGGATGTCATTACATCACCAAGAACTAAGAAACATAATTCACTTTGTTATTAACATTCCGTGAAATACTTTGAAATGTTTTTCTTGAACTAGATCGCTAAAATACTAGGTTTGTCAAATATTTCTAGAAAATACTTTTTATTCTATTTGCAGTATACATGCTTTTAAAGCATTTAAAATGCATATCGCTTTGGCACCGTGTTGTTTAAAATATTTCTTTTTGGAACCATGATTTTTAAACGAGCGCATAATAACATTTCTACAAAACTCATTTTTCTTGGTATTTAAATTCAAAGTATGATATCTACTTACTTACTTATGTCTATTACTCATCTTTGAGCAGCATAGGCCTCCGACCACGATTCTCCAACGATTTCTGTCCTTAGCTCTGCTTTACAGTTGCTGTTCGTTCTTTTGATGGTATCTAATTCCGATAAAATTCACCTGTTAGGTTAAAAGCAATGATCTTCATTATTTAAGAAAAGCCAGTCCGGTACGACTTAGTTCAGTAGGATGTTTGCCTATGTTAATTGATTATAGACCAGTTGATCAAATGCATTGTTTTCTTTCCTTCTTTCTTTCTTTATTTTAACATAGGTATTGGTACAAGGAGGCACCAAATACATATGTGCCACACGAATCTCAATTGATTTGTGTGAGGGCTGTGATACTGCCCGGATGCCCAAACCGAATCAGGTGGTTTCGTTAGGAGGCCCCACACCCAGAGCCTTTGACCTAGAGGTCTGACCCACAAGGCAGTGGAGCATCGTAAGGAGATGCAGTCCCATGGTAGCCAGTGACCAACGATTGGTTCATACGCCATTTGTTCCCTCAGGATACTGGAGCCCATGTGCACCATTGGTTTGGGATCCGGTTAAAGCGCCGGACATTCGCTTTTCGTCCTCTCATTTCCGTAAACAACATCCCCGCCACGAGAAGGTAGTGAGTAGGACTTCCCTGGCAGAGACTATATACGCGCGGCCATGTGAGAGCATTTCGAGAGGGAGAGCGGACTCTCCCCACTCTCGGCCGTACCAGGGCATTTGGGGCATTGTTTTCTTTAAAATATTGCAGTTGAATCATTTGAAGAATCCCGAGTTCTCAAGATGGTTTAATACCACTGTTCTCCGAGGTAATAAAAACGTCCCACAATCACTTCATTAATTACGGTCTCAAACTATAATGTAATGAGTTAGATAAGATTTTGACGTGTTTAATTATATGTAACCAATATTAATGATATGAATGTGTTTGAATTGCGTTTCACTTTTTAACACAGGTTTTGATTGAGAATCAGTTCAAATAATGCAAACTGTTTTTTCAAGTGAAGATAACCATCCTTCTTTCAGTGTTCAATAAAATTCCAATATTTAGCATCTTCGAGCATTTTCCCAATCATTGAGTCAGTCTGTGGTACATATATAGGAATATAATTTGCTCTGGGGATTTTATTTCACTCATCTAAAGCTATCTACATGTTGTATCCATTCAAAAGGGATGGCATTAATAAGGGCGACCAACGAGACGATATATATTGATAAGGGTGAGCATTGAAATGGGGAATAACATTATTAATGATGTGAAATATAGTTCGATTCGCCTTTCTATACCTCTGCCCTACGACCAATTAAAAAAGTGATTTTCTAGACGTCCAATCAGGTGCTTACTTTTACCAAATTCTATAGTTCGAATTTGGTAACAGATTGTTATTGTTATTGCCATAGTCATGATATCTCGTACGTCTGTTTCGATGAAGTAGGGGATAGCCTATTAAGACGAATGTTTCGAAAGTGCTTGGGTTTTCAGTGAATTTCACTTTAAATAAGTTCTAAACATAAGAAATATGCCTTTCTTTACAATAAAAAAACATGCTCGGTATTCTTCATTAAATATATCCCCGAAAAACTGCCCTGTCTATATGTGTCTTCATTGAACACGACATACTTTCGTTCATCCCAACTTATCCTATGGAAGAAGTAAATAAAGTGGAATTTAGATCTTTAATAGAAATCTCTAATGAATGAAGGATTCCTTAATATTGCACTCATGTTGTACATTAAAAAAGATATACACTACAAACTGACGTATATCCTATCAGGTTTGTCTGGTATTGTAACTAATTTGAAGACCTTTTGATGTCTATTTACTGCGGATGAAATTTAAAAACTCAAGTTATTGTCCCACTGTTCTACAGTAGTACCGAGACATTTTAATACATGTTCCATTGATAAAACGTTCAAAGCTATCACCAGTTATTCGACTCGGTCTAGACTAAATTTGATACATTGTTATTTCGGTGAATTCCATGGCTTGAACAATGTTTCCTTTAGCCCCAGACAATTATGTGCGTGATTAGTTTTGTTTTACAGTTTTGTAACATTCATATTCACACTATCGATTTGTTATTCATGTGGGCGTAAGTGCATACAGTTAAATAAAACACTTAAACAGCTATGAGAATTGTATATATATATATATATATATATATATATATATATATATATATATATATCAGACCGGAGCCTAGAAACACCATATATCACATGAGCTCTCACAAACACGAATACATAATTATACAAGACAAATACATTTATGTACACATACGATTTGATGTATAAAGTATATACAAGGATTTTCATTTCGTTGTTGGCGCATATTTGTCACTTGTTTGGCTTATTGTCTTTATGTTAAAACTACTTAAACCTGGAGTGTCCATATTCTAGATCAAACACAAACGCTATTGGATTTCCTGTCGTTTTGACAACATGTACAAAAGGGCTGCCTTTTCAAAGTACGGTACATATGTTGGTTTGTTTACTTTAAACAGTATACTTTATCCTCCGTTAAAACAAAAAGACAGTTGAGTAAGAAGGCTTAATTGCCTATTTGAGTTATGATGCACACAAATCATGGGTTTATAGATATTTGTTCTAATAGCCCATGCAAAGGCATGCAGACTGAGACCTTGAATAGATTCCTACATTAGCGCGTCCTGTTTGTAAATTTATACTTGCCGTCTGTGTTCGAGATGACATGTTAGCTGCTCTGTATTATGTACAAACACATGACTTGTCTTAAACTTTTTCAGTCAACCATCAGCATATACACATACCACCGAACGGGTAGAAAAAGATATATTTCTCATGTTCTTTTGGTCTATAAAAGAATCATGACAAACGACATTTGTTGTACACAGTTTGCTACAGTTTAAATGTAATTTTGAGTTTCAAATAAATTTATCCACTTGACCGAACAATATTAAAAGTACGATGAAATCATGGTAAGTTGAACAACAGGTGTATGAAAATTTTATATTGCATCCCTTTCATTTCACCCAGCTAATGGACTAAAAAGTATAAGGAAGTTGTTGGTTTTCCATAAATCTTAGCATAGATAAAATAGTCAAACATTCGTAGTAATAAACCTAATGTTCGTGGATTTAACTCTATCGAAGTTAAACAATCGATCATTTAATACCTCAATTTACGATAATATTCTTGGGAATCTATCATCAAAGTGATTCAGATTCTTTCTTTAATTAATTAATTAATAAACTGAATTATTTCCCTTAAAATTCATACTTCTCAACTTTGTCCCTGTCAACTTTTCATTTTTCTGTGTAAAATCATATCGATTTTCGTCATTGATGCACGGTTTTATTTATTTTCCGTTCAGTCTATAAACTGATAGTTGTAGTGTGATATTGAAGAGCTCAGATATTTTTGTTAAGAAATTCCTTATATTTATTTTTTATGTTTACTGATAAACATAATATTCATAAAATACATAATTAGCTGATATTCATTAAACTACCACCGAAATTCGAGAAACACAAAATAAACACACTAATGAGAAATTTCATACTAAGTCAAAACAATTATACAATGCTTTCTGGTTTTCAATAAGGGTCCAACAAAAGTCAGTACATGATATGTGATCTATGAACATCACACATTCTCCATATATTCCGCTGAAAAATATACTACTTAAATAGGGATCATTGTCAACACCATGTGATAGATTGATCCGTTCTGTCAAATGAATTCTTTTGTTATATGAGCGAACGAAATTCGTTCAAGTAAAATAAAGTTTATTGGTAAATACCAATGGTAACTAGGTAAGGTTTCAGCGGGACGTAGATTAGATTAAAACATGTTCCGTGCAGGATTATGTTGGGGCACATTGATTGGCTGTTTCTTATCCATCAACACCAGTGGGTATTTGAAGACTCGAGAATCTTCTTATGTAAAAAATATAATTATGCCAACATTTCTCTTATCGTGATTCCTATTTCCATCCAACCTTTTTATCTAGAGTGCAATTACGTTCCTGTTCAACCGTGTTCTGAAGAAGTGTACAAAACTACCAAGCCATAAGAGTAACTCGGTCGTAATAAGAGAAATGATATCATAAGGATAGCTCAGATTTTCTAAATATTTGTTATGACACATTAGTTCATTTTTTCAAAGAACAACCTCAGTGATATTTTCCTGCCACCACATTTATTTAATAACATCCAGTGTTAATTGATTAACTGTTTTCAATTCTAGTTTGCTAACAATGTTATATAGCCTACGGTCATTGTATGTTACTGCCTAAACGCAGTACGTACAATATTATCTGGAGGATGGGTATAGAGTAGACGTGTAACTCATAATAAAGAACGAAAGTGTATCTTGTCAACATTTGAATGTATCAAAGTCTCTTTTATAAGTGGTAGATTTTACTGTGTTTTCTGGAAATGCTAATAGACGTAATTGTCGTATCATGATTTAACATCACTGTACTTTATTGAATTCATTGTTTGTGAAATTTTCCGCTTTCAATTTACAGACAGTTCCTTAATTGGAAATATTTTTAAAGAATGAACAATCTGCGACAAGTATGAGATTTTTTTAATAAAGTATACTTATGTTCTCTTAACTTAAATAAGCATTTAAAGATCTGCATCTGAAACTGCCTAATCATCATCCCTTATACTATGAGATTAAGATCGCTTCATATCTTTCTTTCTACGAACTAACTCTTCATTCCTATACTATGTCCTTAAATGCAATCTTTCTTTTACATATTAACACCACTGAATGAACTACTTCTATGAATGCGGTGTTCATCTTGTGCTAATGAGGTATGGTAACTTTGACCGATGCATATATGTGTCTGGTCCTACACGTTGTAGGTGACTGATTTCAAAAGCGATGAATTAACATGAATTCTGGTAAACATTATGGAATTAATTGGTACTTTATTATTTAGATCTTTATAAACATTTTTCCTTGCCTAAATCGTAACCGAAGTAATTAAAGTATTGTGTATAAATATACCTTCTACATGTCTACATAACCGACTATAAATGGCTATAAACCTTAATGGGTTTGGGATTGTTTTAAAAGATTAGAGAGTATTTTGGTTTCATTTCACTAACTTTTTATGTCTGCAATAGTTTTGCTTATGAAAATCAGGTATCCTAATTTTTGTTGTTGTAAGATTTATCGCACTTGTTTCCAAGTGATGATTTGTACAGTATGGGATTAGTTATTTTATTTCTCTCTTTTATGTGATTCAATTCATATTCTGTTTGATTATTAGGATATTTGCTTATTTGATGAATATTCCACTTTGAATGATCAATTAACAATTTCTCTTGCAAACGGCACGATAACAGCATTCAATTCAACAAATCTATTGAAATGTCCAGATTTACTACAACATTTGAAACTCGTTCATCAAACAATTCGTCGGAAATTTGCTATTAAAATTATCGAAAATAATTTAGCCAATTATCAATTACAACTTTCTAATGAATATACAGGACGTTTGAGTGTTCTGAAAGAACTTGGATTTATTGATTCGGCAACACAAAGCTATTGTCTTAGTTTTAAAGGTAAGATATTTGCAATACCTAAATAATCATGGTTTGATTGAAGAGTTTTGTGGCGATTAGTTTAATTTGTAGATTTCATTTATCACAGACTAAACTCACTTCATGTACTATTGAAAACCTGGAAACACTGGACAACTGTTTCGTTTTAATATGCTACGCATCTCCATTGAGTACGCAAGAGCTTGCCAAAGATCAAAACTCAGGCCCTTGAGATCGCTCAGTGAACGTTCAACCATCAGAATCACTGTATTGGCGTCAGTTGGTACAATTTCTTGTTCAATCCACAATATAGCGCGACGATAATCCGTTATTTATGGCCACAACTGTCACTTTCAACACGTTTGGACTCCACTAATCACTTTTCACTAGGACTTTATTGACATCTTGAAGAGGTTTTGTGGAGAATGTTTTGAATTCGTAGGTTCCATTCCTTACGGATTGATCCTAGTTGAGATAGCTATCTGATTTCCAATAGTATCGCAAATGAGACCCTACTGTGACGAAAACGAGTCATTCTTTAATAATAGTTTTTATCACAATAATTTTATTTAAATTTCTAACAAATAAGTAAATAAAACTAAAGATTGCCTCTAATTTCTAAAGGTGTAACCTAAATATTTTTTGTATTGTCAAATGTATTATTTATTGACATGAAACATCAGAGTGCAACCTAGTTTTTTGATAAATTTTCTTACTTTTAGTTGTTTTTTAGAATAGCATATTGATTTGGCAGAAAAGAGATATTAATATACACACGTAAACTGATATTTGCTTTGATTTTTCATCAGGAATTAGGGATTAACAATTAGTCATTTTAATTTCTGTACACTGAAAAACTGAACAGGTACAGTACATTTACGATCCGACGTTCTATAACACCTGGTCCCCACTTCCTATCATCTTGACACGATTTGATAAATACCCTTTCACCCAGTTGGAAGCTACGAGTGACCGTACGATGCTCATTCGTGAGTTTATTTGTTTTTGTAGGCGGCAACATTCTGTTAAGAACTGTCCGGATTTTCCTTCCGAATATACGCTCGGATGGTGATATTCTTTCTGGTACTGCTGCATTGGGGGTAACTCTGTAAGACATTAGGAACTTACTGATCACCTGTTCTGGGATACCCTCTCCTCCCCCTTTGACCAGAGCTCTTTTTATCATATCCACGAATCTTTCTGCTTGGCCATTCGACTGAGAATGGTACGGAGGAGATTGTAGATGCGATATGCCATTTTTACTGCAAAGGCGTTTAAAAGCAAATGACATAAACTGAGTACCGTTGTCAGTCACTAAGATCTCTGGAAACCCCAGGACAAGCAAACAGTCCTGACAATATTCTTATTGTACTCTCTGATGTCGTTTTCGGCATGTCATATACTTCTGACCATTTTGTGAAAGCATCGACAGCAACCAAGTAATTTCTGCCTTCTATTGGACCGGCGAAGTCAGCGTGTATTCTTTGCCAAGGTCCATCGGTTTTGGCCATGGTTGTGGTTCAGCCTTAGTCGGATTATTTGCGGCCTCTAGACAGGACCAACAACTGCTACATTTTTGTTCTCTATCATGGTTGTGTGTATTCAATAGGTTGGTTATTTTAAATACTAATGGAGTTTTGAATTGGACGGAAATTCGGACATATTAATTCATATATTTCTGGATACTTTACTAAACAATATGCGATTTTATTTAACAAAGCAAACATATAAGGAATGTACATTAACCCCCCGGGTATTTTCGTTATTTTGATTGCTTTTTTCCACACACTATTATTAGTTGTTATTGTACTACTAAGATCAATTGTTAATTTAATTGAAATAAAACAAATAAACTCTGATATATCAGAACGAAGATTGGAGGAATAGTAACTCTCAGGACCAATTTATCGATAAATATTATGTTACAGTCTTATTACGTGATTTTTAAGTAACTAGACTACTATGTCTATCTACCCATAAACAACTGTCGTACGACTTTCTATTCGTGTTTAGTCTATCACTTACGGTTTCCGCTATTCACAACCACTTTTGTCTTTTTTCCATAATTGTTATTTTTCATTTTATAGTGTGGTGCGGCAGGGCGTGTCTATATAAACCACGTCTGTTTGAAATATAATTATAGTAGAAGCTGGTCGATGACTTTTGAACTCGGGGCAGCTGTTGAGAGAGATGCTTGCGAATCATGGACCAGTAGGAAAGTAGATGTCGGCCCAAAATTAATAGTACTGGTCAGGCTTATAATTGGGCAAATCAGAGATTTTAAATTATAGAGTAAATAGTAAGCACGAAATAGATCAAGTCAGTATTCTGATTAGTGAATTGCCAAGTGATATTTCTCAGCGGTCAACAAGACACAACAAACTGTTATTTTTCAATGGTTAAGATCATGAGTCAGTTGAAGCTAGACCATCATAGAAAACCTGGAAGGACTGGGCGGCCATTTCGCCCCACTGTGGGACTCCTCAGCAGTGCGCCTTCACGACCTCGCCCCCTGCGAGTTTCGAACACAGGACCTACTGGTTTCGCGCGCGAACACTTAACCACTAGACCACTGAGCCGGCTTCCAACAGTGTTAATGTCTAACTTCAACTAATCCACGAAATTGGGCGACATATCCACCATTGTCTTCAGTGAATTACTATCTCACAACAGACCTGGTTGAACTCCACTGGGTCTTGGGTTCTAGTCTCTCAGGGGGCGAGGTCGTGGATGCGCACTGCTGAGGAGTCCCACAATAGGACGAAACGGCCGTCCAGTGCTTCCAGGTTTTCCATGATGGTCTAGCTTCAACTGACTTATGATCTTAACCATTGAAATTACTACAATCTCCACAAAACCCCTTCTGATATTAAACTGTTATATCTTTTCTTTGTTTTTCCTAGGTTTCTTTGCATGTGAATTAACAAGCAAGGAAGTTTTATTGACACAACTTTTAATCGACGGTTTTATTAACGATTTATTAGCCCCTGATATTGCAGCTGTCCTCTCAGCGTTTTCCAATGAACTAAGAGCACAAGATTTTACTCCAGAAAAGACAACTAGCTATTATCTCAAAGAATTAATTGACTCAATAAATTGTACTGCTTCTACTACTACAACTAATTATACAAACAATTTTAATCTTCATAAGGATTTAGAATGTATTCCTCGTCATTTACTTTTAGTATTCAAAAACGTTTTAACTCGTGCCTATGAGGTGAGTTAATTGCATATACACATTTTCCAATTAACTGATAAAATGGTTTAAGTGCTTCAGAATAAGATCAATTGGCTGACAACATAACGATATCTCAGTTGAATTCCTAAACTTATGAAACATAACATAGTTTAGTGTTAGACTCGAATGAATATGAGTTAAAATATCTTTCATTAGGGAAGTCCGAATGAATGGGAAACTCGAACAAGTTTTGCTGTGGTTGATAAAACTATAGGATGTCTAAAGTGAGGAAGAGTGGCAGGTTCTAATGGATAGATCTTAGAGTTCTTTAATGATAGTGATTCAGTTTAACTAGCTGGATTGACTAATATATTAGCTAGGTTCTAAGACCTGGACGTAATTTCATTCGACTAGTTTCGATCACTGATCATCACCGTTTTATAGGAAAGGATAAAATGTCTCTTGTGATAACTTTTGAGAAATCAGCTTAATTAGCATACTGTCTAAAATATTAGCTCTAATAATTATTGGACACTCAACTAAGCCCCATGCATCTTCCAAGCAAAGGGCGAGCTTAACTCACAGCACATTACTCTGTTCTACTTTATTGCTGTGTCATATGGCTTTTGAGAATATAGGATATTAGTAGTATAGTACATTAATACTCGACCATGAGTGTCTTAGAATCATTGCTCGTGTACTATGTGATCACCGAGTGAAAAGTTGAGTTTAAACGCAGAGTACTGGGTAGTAATGGCAAACCGTTTGACGAGGCAGTAAATCTTCATCGACTTAAGGCGGTTGAGGTATATATTTTGTATGCTTAACCGCTTTCTACCTCGATATGCGATGTTGATTGATGTCGGAGCAGTTTGGAAGAAATCTAGAAAGACTAGGCCGTAATGCGACGTCAGTTCATGAAACTATTGCACTGAGTCATGTTGATAAATACAAATTACTTGATTGGCATAAGTGCGATTATCGTATCTAGTGGTTGGAGATGTGGATGTTATAGATAGAATCGATCGCATAGTATATATATATATATATATATATATATATATATATATATATATATATATATATATATATATCGTAATATTTATGCTTATATTCATGATTGCGACTCTCTGACAATTTAGTACTTTATGACGCGATATGTTGTTTTAGGGCCAACCGTTTTGAATCCCTTGTTTTTTGTCAACGCTGAAGAGATTTATAACTACAAGTTGGCGTGATCTAAGTTTATATACAATCGAACACGAACATTGTTCTGTATTTCTTCTTGTTCTGAAGTTAACGTAATTGTGGATTGAATTACATAATTTGATAGTGTCACATTACTAACAGATAATTACAGAACAACAGATAAAGCTAAGATTATAGAAGTTTTCAGTTTGATATTTTGGGAATTATTTTTAAAAGAAAGGAGAGCTGACGATACTTTGATGCATCTGTCCAGTATGAATCAACTGTTTCTAATTAGTGAGAATTTTCATTCAGTCAGTCATAAGTACATATGAGCATCGGTCTGAGTTGTCAAACCATATCAGTACGACGAAACTGAATTATCAAGACAAACTGGAAAAAGCGAAGTACTTATAGAATCACTGGTAGGACAAAGCATTAGAGATATGCGATGTTTCTTGAAAAATACCTTGACGTGGTGGTCGGGATTGCCTATTGTGAGGAACCAATCGAGCTATACTGGCTGGAACAATCGTTCCTCAAGGTCCTACCACGCCAGACAGGTCGGTTGAAGAGTGGTAAGACTAAAAGCAGCTGCCTCCAAATGCCCTGGTACGGCCGAGAGTGGGGAGAGTCCGCTCTCCCTCTCGAAATGCTCTCACATGGCCGCGCGTATATAGCCTCTGCCAGGGAAGTCCTACTCACTGCCTTCTCGTGGCGGGGATGTTGTTTACGGAAATGAGAGGACGAAAAGCGAATGTCCGGCGCTTTAACCGGATCCCAAACCAATGGTGCACATGGGCTCCAGTATCCTGAGGGAACAAATGGCGTATGAACCAATCGTTGGTCACCGGCTACCATGGGACTGCATCTCCTTACGATGCTCCACTGCCTTGTGGGTCAGACCTCTAGGTCAAAGGCTCTGGGTGTGGGGCCTCCTAACGAAACCACCTGATTCGGTTTGGGCATCCGGGCAGTATCACAGCCCTCACACAAATCAATTGAGATTCGTGTGGCACATATGTATTTGGTGCCTCCTTGTACCAATACCTGTGTTAAAATAAATATCGATAATGTATGCTACCAACAAATACGAATACTGAAGCAGTTTTTCTGAAACCACGGGCAACATATAAACTGGCTGCCTTCAACGTTCGCACACTTATGCAGGTTGGACAACAGATAGGGCTGGCTATGTCTTTGGAAAGTCTTAATATTGACGTTTGTTGTCTATCCGAGACCCGTATTCAAGACTCTGTTGAAGTACTACAAATTCGTTCTCCATCTGTCGCTTCAAAAAGCTTGTTTTACGTGCGTTTACCCGGGGACTCTGTGGCACCCTCGTCTGGTCTTGCTGGCGTTGGTGTCGCACTAAGCACTAAAGCTGAGGCAGCACTAATCGATTGGATCCCCATCAACAGTCGGTTATATGCTGTTAGATTAGAAAGTTCCATCAAAGTGAGAAGAAATCGGTGTGAGAAACAATGTCTTTTCGTCATCTTCGCCTATGCCCCGACAGATTGCAGCTCGGATGCAATGAAGGATGAATTCTATCACCGGTTAACTGTTCTCCAGAAAGTGCGTCCGACAGATATTGTAGTACTAGCCGGAGACTTGAATGCTAAGGTAGAGAGTCGTTTAAGTGGCCGATGGGGACTTGTTGGTCGCAGCTCAAATAACGGAGCTACCTGGCAACCTCCATCTGCATCTCAAGCCTGGATTCACATTGATCACATCGTGATCAGCTCTCGCTGGCGTGGTTGTGTACAAGGCTACCTCTGCTTTTGGTGTACCTATCTGGACTCTGACCATACTCTTGTTTGCGTCAATCTTACCTTACTTTTCAGTGGCCAACGAATTGGTGTCAGCAAATTGGTTGCAACTTCTGTTGCAAGTAAGTATCGAACGGAGCTAGCTACCCTCCCACTGAAAAGTATAGATGAGCATTGGTTGCAACTGCAAGACGTCATGAAAATGGTGAGTAAAGCCACTTGCGGCTTCGCGAAACGTCCCGCTTATAAGCACTAGGTTACTTCAGGCTCCTTACAACTCATGGAAGCCCGTCGGTCTACTACGGTAACCGTGAGTTTGATCATAAACAATGACTACTACGTAATGAAATCGCGAAAAGCTTGCGTAAGGACCGAGAAGCCTGGTGGTCGGAGCGTGCTAATGAGTTGGAAGCAGCAGCTGCGTTTGGTAACTGCCGGAAGCTCTTCCAACTCATCTGAGCCACAGGCAGCAAGAAGTCTTGTGTGAGCGAAACAATCTGTGAGGATGACGGGATGCCAACCACTAACATCCATCGACGTCTTGGACGATGGGCAGAATTCTTCGAAGGGCAGTTCAACTGGCCTTGTGCTCCAGCCACATCGATCAGACTGTTCTGCCCTCCATGGCCTGTGATGACTGATTCAAGTCCGCAAGGAACTCCAACTCTTGAAACGCTACAAATCACCAGGTCAGATGACTTATTTCCGGCTCTTTTTGAAGAGAGTTGTGACTTTCTGGTTAAAGAACTGACAACGTTGTTTAGAAAGGTCTGGGAGCTAGAGAGTGTTCCAACTTCATGGAATGAGTCGATAGTTGTCCATATCTTTAAAAAAGGTTCACGTTGTTCCTGTAACAACTATCGGGGAATAAGTCTACTTCCGATTGCTTTCAAACTATTGGCTTCCGTCATACTTCGCAGGTTGTTCAGAACCCGAGAAAGATTGACTCGCGAGGAGCAGGCTGGGTTTCGTTCTGGTCGAGGGTGTTTTGATCATATCTTCACCCTCCACTAAATGTTAGAACACCGTCATACTTATCACAAGCCAACAATCGTAGTGTTTCTTGACATCAGGGTTGCCTTTGATTCGTTGGACAGAACTGTTCTCTGGGATTGTCTATTAATCAAAGGTGTGCCTGAGAAGTTTATTACCATCCTAAAAGCCCTATACACAAACATTTTAGGCAGAGTGATGACATACAACCACCTTTCTCCATTGTTCCGTTTAAGCAGTGGGGTTAGACAGGGTTTCCCAATCTCACCATTCCTCTTCAACTTTGCCATCGATAACATTCTGGAAACAGCTCTGATGGATGTAAGTAATGGTGGTGTGGATCTGTTGTCTGGAGAAAGACTTCTCGACCTTGAGTATGCGGATGATATTGTCTTACTGTGCGAGAATTTTCAAGCCATGCAATCCACACTTAATCAGTTGGCAATCGATGTCCGTAGGTATGGTATGTGCTTTGCACCTTCGAAGTGCAAAGTACTTTTACAAGACTGGCAGGATTCTAATCCTGTCGGATTTACAACGCATCGGTGAGAGCAGTTTCGCTCTGTGCTTGTGAAACCTGGCCTCTCCGAGTTGAGGATGTTAGACGACTCTCTGTGTTCGATCATCGCTGTCTCCGAAGGATTGCTGACATCCAGTGTCAACATCATGTTAGTAATGCAGAAGTTCGGCATCGTGTGTTCGGACACAGAGACGACAATCCAATTGGTGTCATCATCCTGAAACACCGACTTCGGTTGCTTGGACATGTTCTACAAATGTCTTCCCAGAGAAATCCACGTCGTGCATTATTTGCCGACTCTGGGACTGGTTGGAAAAAGCGGAGAGGTGGTCAGTGTATGACATGGTGTCGTGGTATGGAAGAAAGCTGCAAAGGGCTCGCTTGTGTTGATCCTTCTCGACTCCCTGGCTGGGGTCCGAGAGATGGTGCAACACAATGGCTAGAGACATTATTAGATATGGCTGAGAATAGAAGCCAGTGGCGATCCTGCTGTAAGCTTCTTTTACTTTCTTCATAAAAAATGGTTGTATCTTCCTTAACTGAAATTCTTCTGGTTGTACCTTTCCGTTCCCCCCATTATTATTATTACACTACCTTAGACTAATCTGTGGTCGTTATTGTTCTTCTTTTTTTTTCTTATACGCTCCTTACCTTCTTTTTTCTCATCGTTTTGTGTGGCGCATATATATTTGGTGTCCTCTTGTACGAATTTTTATGTGTTCAAATAATAATAATAATAGACACTGATACTGATTTGACGCAGGAGATAAGAGACTAAAATCTGCAACATTTAGTTCGGAGACCGGTTTCATGAGAACAGAGATGTCATTCTATAAGGTTAAACCAATGGCATTGGTTGCAAAGGAGGAGGATGAAGTTAGTGAAAACATGATGATAAAAAGAGTAAAACAAAATTTCAGAGGCAAGGGAAGGAGATTTATGGTTTACAGGAGTTTTGTTGGATGTGTAGGTAATCTAAAAATCTAGGAAAATAAAGCTGAATAACTGTGATGACTTGGAAGTCTATTCAGCCCTGATGGGTTGGTGTCTGACGAAACCTCAGCACGGATTCAGAATGCTCGTTTGGCTTTTGACAACTTACATCACCAATGGCGAATGCGAGTTATCCACCTATCAATTAAGGAATGAGTATACTGTGCGGCAGTTCGTTCTGTTTTACTTTACGGCTGCGAAACGTGGCTATTAAGGGTAGAAAATACTCATGAGCTACTGGTATTTGACCACAGATGTCTTAGAAATATTGTTCGCATCCGCTAGGATCACTGGGTAAGTAATAATGAGGTTATACGCAGGATATTAGTTAGTGATGGTAAATCACTTGATGATGCATATATGTGCCTGGTCCTACGTTTGTAGCTGGCTGATATTTTAAGACAAACGGGAATACATACGCATCATAGCACTGTTATCCGACATCTTTAACAACTGGTTCTGATCATTTTTGTGGACCCCAGTTAGGTAATCTGAGTTTAACAACATGGCACAGTTCAACAGTTAATGACTTCATGAACTGAGTCCATGTTTGGGTTTTTTCACCTTCAACTCCTACTGAATAGTGGTAAATCATCATGTCACTTGAAGGTATGCAACAGTGTTATAGCTTATAAGATCATTGAAGGTATTTGGGACGAAATCTTGTATCACGGTTTCGTGCTAGTTGGCACTCGTAAGGCTTACTTGTTGCAGTTTTTATTATATATATATATATATATATATATATATATGCAAAAACTTATTTTGTAGCTGGAAAAATTACAACGACTTCATAAATTAACTGACCCATATTTGGAAAGTCGACTCGATCTACGTATAGTTCCATTAGTTTATAAATGGGCTAATGGTTATTCATTTTCTGCAACCATATCAAAATGTGATATGCCAGAAGGTTCAATAATTAAAAGTTTACTACAATTGGATGAATTAATTCGTCATATTTCTGGTGCATGTCGTCAATTTGGTAATCACATTTTAAGCCTAAAAATAGATGAAGCCAGAGACTTAATTCATCGTGATATTGTTTGTTCACCAAGTTTATATGTTTTACAAGATATGAAATTAGCTAAAGATGATTAAACTATATAATTTTGTGCTTATTTTTGCGCTCAAAACTAGAATTTTCTTTTACTTCAACTTAAATAGTATTATTTTTTCCTAAAAATGCCGCTTTTCCAAATCTTGTTGTAAGCGTTTCCTGTTTTGGTTTATCAAATCAGAACTACTTGTCATATGATTTATGCTTTTCTGAATGATGCAATCATTACTACATGTTATATCTTTTGGCCCTGTCGGTCTATCACGTGGTAATATCGCCAAATAGAGTAAGACCTTGTGACCTTGACAAATGACGCATTATGCTGGTACAAACGACCCTTGGTCCTTATTAGCCCTTCTCGTCTGGTCCTGCCTGTTGAGTCCAGAATACCAATGTCAGATTCCGCTGTATGAATCATATATTTCAGACAAGCAAACCAGACCACATCAAACCATAAAATAGAAAATATCAATTGTACAAGATCATGTCAAAATTTGGCTGTGATTGTAAAAGACTGTAACTAATAAATTGGGAATAACTTAAGAACAGTAAATTGTATAGTAGTAGTCAATAGGTCAGTCAAATGGAAACTTGCAATAAAATGAATATGAATAAACACAATGTAGTTTACTTAATAATTATCCAATAAGGATATATGTATACTATTAGTCCATAAATAATTCCTAGCCTTTGCCACTCATTTATTCTTCGTTTGGCTATATCACTATACATTTGCTAATTACATAACATTGATTATCTTTATATTATGAGAGGAAAGAGGCAACACAGATGGACATCCAACATCGATAGTTGACCAAAAATGTGAAAGACGAAGCACCGAACCGTTGTTCATAACAAATTTTCGGTGTATTTTTTAACATTATGAGCAGTTGGTTAGTGACTGGATCAAACATAGGACAATACAATTAATTAGCTTTAAGTATTTAATCGTATTCAACTAGGCATCTTCGTATTAAAATTTGCGTGAGACATACAAACTGATCATAATAATTTTACTGCTACCTTATCATATTTGGTTACAGTTCATTGGATCTAGGACACACAATATTCATTTGGCAGCCTATTGATCCGATATCTGCTATCAGCATCGTGTTGCTTTCATTTAATTTCTCGTAGCATGCCACTTCATCAAAATCATTATTTATTTTCCTATAAAAAGGTATCTTATAAGGCTTGCACTGAGGCAACATACTCGACGCTTCATATGAGGATGAACACCTAAATACGACGTATAAGAGCAAAAGAATCCCCCTGTTTGGATGTAACAAACGGAAATCCAAGTGTAGAGGATATAGTACCAATCATCATAATAATGCAGCATTTTTGTGCTTATTTATCGTAGTATCTATTATTCGGTTCCACTAAAGTAGCATTTTATAGCGATTGAGTGGCTTTAACGTTTGTGAACCAAACTAAATGGGATGATACTCCGCCGCTTGTCCAGATTTTTTGCAAGTTACAAGTCAATTTAAACTGTGTGCAAATAAACGGCCATAAAACTTGACATCAACATCGGCCATTTAGAACCTAAATGATTTCTTTAAAATTTATTAAGAATGGACGTATATCTAAATTAACGGGATTTCAGTAGTGCTCTGCTGCCTGGAAATAATACTTTTATGTGTAGTACTTATTAAATGAACGGGAAAATACTCGATATCACATACATATTGGACATCGAAAAACAGATACATAGTTTTTCCCATTATTGATATGCACACAATTCAAACAAAACACTTACTACTACCTGCTTTGAAGTAGCCTGGAATACATTGTCAAGGGAAGTCATTTCTTGTAGGTTTTCTACTTCAAGAATAATTCACAGCGAAATACCTGTGTAGATAGTCTCATTATAAATAACAATGCTATATTGATAAGAACATGCTCTCAGTGATTATCTATACTCTATATAATCAGCTAACCATTGTATTGTCATCGAAATTGCTTACAACACTGTTGAACGTCCAAGTCATGGTAACTAATGGGTGGATTGTCAACACTCATTCTAATTAATCATTTTATAAAACGACCTCAGGAAAGTTAGCTTTTGTCGTCTTGCTAAAAATTGTTAACACCGATTAGAAAGGAGGAGAATTTCGGAAGAAAAGCGTCTATTGACAAACTAACAATTAGTCTTAATAGTAATAACTAGTTAGAATCCTTGATGTTGATTTTTGTAAGGTGAAATTCGGTCAGTATATATATATATATATATATATATATATATATATATATATAATTAGTTGATTAGATAGAGCAAGTTTTTGGACGAGATAAACTTCCACATAATCCGCAAATTAACTATATTTAGAAGTGATGTAATTTTTTGGCAGAGGGAAACTCCCTGAAATTTTAGACGATTTGAACACTATAAATGTCGGTCTGCAGACAACAATTAGGAGCAGTAAAAGACACAGCACATGGGATGGTGATTCGTTTTAAAGTTATTGATTTAATTGGAAAAAGCGATTTTCATTAATGCTTCTAAAAATTGGTTTGTAAATACAATCATTAAAGAAATAAAAATTCCAATGTGAATATGCGCGTGATAAAAACAAAACACAATTGTGCAACTTTTAGATTTTGTTAAAAAGTATGGACGAGCGTTTATTTTTCATGAAAGATATGTTGACTTTTCTGAAGTCTATTTATTTCTCAAATTGCTGCGAACCTTCGGCTTTTTTCATGATGGTGGTCCATTTATGTAAAATAATCGTGTTAAAGTACTAACACTACTTGTCATTTGTTTCATATTATCCGTTTCAATTTGACCTGTATTCGATCGATATTGATAGGCTACTACACGGGCAACTACTGTGAGAAGAGACATAATATCTGAATGATTCACATTTTTCATATCGGATTCAAGTACATTACATAGTTCTTGAATAAACCAACTGCCTGAAGAGGAGTTACGCCAAGCAAAAAAACCTAAAATACCGAAACATAATATTTGAGTCATTCTGATTATTTTATTGGAAATTTAATGAAAACTACCACTTTTTTATAATTGAGTTAATATGTTGAGCTCAGAGATACTATTTGGACAGCTTTAAAAAAAACATAACAGGCTGATGTAAATATGATAATAATTGAAGGATTGATCAAATAAAAATTTACTAGCTCCGGACTTTCCAGTTTGGGAGCGAGTACATAGGCTACATGCAAATAACTTAAGCGATCCAGTGTGAGATTATAAGTGTACGTTGTCATGATGCCCGTTCGCTTAAATGGTAAAGCAGCTTCCTAGTATTCCATTGATCTCAAGTGATTTTTCAGTTATTTGTTGTTTAATATCAAGTTACACAATATATTCATGGAACCTGCATTTATTTAATCTTCTGGACTTGAAATAAAAGTTTATATTACTAGTAGGATTAAAAAACTTCCCTAGAAAGCTATTAAAGCGAAAGAAAATACACCTCAATAATCATTTAAAGGTTGATGAATTAGAGCGATAACAAAAAAAGTTGCAACTTGTCCTCAAGTAAAGGTTAAACAACCTTAGCGTTTTACTATTGAGGTAGAGCTGAAGATTGATAATCCAGGCAGGTGGGAAGTAACTCGAGATAAATAAGTCCTGCTGGCGATGCATCTTAATTATCATTTGAAGTGATAATAATAAACAACAAATAAACTAGTAATATCGTTTGCCTATAACAATGTAACGAGTCATTTTAATTAACACTTAAATATGTTTATGAAAAAAATTCAAGAGACAAAAATGACTTGCTTTATTAACATAAAAAATAAATTTCTTAAAAAGTACTTAGTGAAGATAGATTATGGCTAGCAGCAGGATCTATTAGGCGCGTTTCGTCTTAAATAGGACTCATTAGATTAATGTACCTCCATCCTTGTGTTGATTTTCAAATTGTGACTCGAACACAGTGGTTCACTACAAACCTTAACATATTATGAAATCGGTTTAGATATTCACTGACTTCATCATACTTGTTAAAAAAGTAAGTTATTCCAACAGGTTCCCAATGCGTAGAAATATTAATCTGGTAATTTATAGAACTCAAAGAAAGCATAGCGAACAAATTATGGAGACATACCTGGTACTGTGGAGTATGCGACTAGTATATCTGCTTCTATCGGCAACTTGTGCACAATTAAATCTTCACCTGCATCTGTTACCATAGTGGAAACACCTTTATCAAATGCAGCACCTCGACAAGCCTTCAAAAAATGATATGTAAATATTTTAAAGTATCGAAACACTGATTTAAAATAGGTGAAACATTTTTTCTATTCTAACACATTATTACTCGGTGTATGTGACGAGATGTGATGCGGTTCACTATGATGTTTCCCCTCGATTTAATAAATTCTTTCTAATAAGATATTTTACGGCAGCTTGTTAAAAATAAGCGCAACATACATGCAGTAAAATTTATAAGGGTAATCGAGTTATTCCAATAACTTTTGTAACAACAAATTAACACAATGATGGACGGATTTCAGGGAAAGCGCGAATAATTAGTACTATTACTTCGTCTGTACCGCAAACAGCCTTTAACTACTGAGAATTATTGTTTGGCAAAATTCCCTTTTATATACATAATTAACTAAATAAAAACAACGGGGAAATTAGTTAAACGATTCAGAGGGATTAGTTCAAAAATAGGACAAATTATTCAAGACACATGGCAACATGAACCAAAATCTATGGCATAAACACATTTACCACACTGGTCAATGGATTGCAATTTTGAGCTCTACAATTTAGCCACTTCTTATACTAACCATATCTATGAGAAATTGGTTTATGCTATATATTACAATACATAAGAAAATAACAGTCGAAGGATCGTCATTCATAAATCACAAATAAGGCAAGAAAATGACGAACATACAACAGAAAAGTATTTCCTCTAACTCTAGGTTTTCATAACAAGATGTAGTATACTGCTATCAATACCACTCCAACAAGCAAATAACTTAATAAAGACTCATTAATATAGGAAATCATAATCACTGAAAACAAAACAATTAGGGACATGAAGTATTCCTC